AAACTAACACACACACACACACACACACACACACACACACACACACACAATGAGACAGAAACCATGTGCTGAAGCAGTTCAAAGGCTACTGCTGCCCCACAAATGAACATCCACTTAATGATATTCTAGTTATTTAAATAAAGAGGGGACAAGAACAATTGACAACATGGCTCAGCTTTGTTTCTTGTTGTACAGGACGTTCTGGTGCAGCTCCTTCACTGGCATTCCCCCACTGAAGTCAGTGGAGCTGTGTCAATTGTACATCCGCTGAGGATTTCCTTAAAAAACACTTTACATAAATGAACCTGTTTTTATGCTAGTTGGGGGTAGAAAGGGTTCACCCCTCGGCCTCTCCCCCGCAAACAGGAAAGCTGGAAATGGAACTAGGAAAGGAAATGACAGGAATACTTCCAATGGCTATTTAGCAGGCCTTACCTGCTTGAACATTTCAGGGAAGTCGTATACATAGGTAGTGCCTAGCGACTGTGCCTGGAAGCGCTTGGACTGGAGCAGGTCCTTGGTAACGTATGGTGTGTTAATCAGCATCCCATGCTGTGGCCCTTGCTTATCCCCATAGGAGTGAAACATAATCTAAAGGGAAGGTCAGAGAGTCAGTTCCCCTCCCACGCAGGTGAATTGTTCTTTACAAAGTTAATGCACAATCCCTCAGAGTGGTTTAGAAAGGTTAGATCAGTTAGTATATGACAACTGCCCTACACGTTCAGTGATAACTGGATTCAATATAAAAGAACAATGTATCCAGCTTGGGTGGGGAAGTCACAGATGATATTGTAATGAACTAGTAGTGTCTGCATGCACCACTGCCCTCTGCTGCTCAGAATCAGAACAATGCAACTATGTGTCACCAGCCCCATACTCCTCAGAGCTGGCAGCAATTCTCCTCTAGCTTAAGTGGTGCTTTTGGAGCAGGAGGGCCAGAGTTCTGTTCATGATGTCACTTGGAGGTTCCAAGTAGCTACAGTGTGCAGCTGAATGACAACTGTGGCCCCAGCCTTGTTACAATATTTTCAGGAATTGTAACACCTTGAGTGGCAGCTCCCAGGAAGCCCTGACAGGAACTACTGACTCCAGCCCTAACAGGTGCAGAAGTCCCTCCTGATGCTACCATAATTGAGTAATTGTACTTGCTCAACTATGGTAACAAGATCTGGTGAAAGGAAAGCCTGGGGGGGGGAGAGAATCTGAGCAGAGGGGAAACGCTTTCAGTACTTTTTTTTTTTTTTAAATGCACTCTGCATTAGCTCCAGTGTAAATCACGCACATTCCCAGTCCTGGGATCATTCACTTCTTTGTAGAGACTAATATCCAGGTAGTAGCCGGACTCATTGGTCAGGAAGAGGCGGATAGGAATGGCTTTGCCAACAGGAGTCAAACGGATATTGATCTTCACTTCAGCTTGCAGGACCCGGAGTTTCCACAACCTGCTGCCGTAGCGCATCACCATGGAGCGGACAGCCTCCTCGATCTAGGGACACAAATGCCAGACACCTGGGCATGCTTGCCGATCGGGCAGGGGAATCTCAAATGGTTTCATTCAGACAGGCCGATTAGTCTCATGACTACGTAACACCACACTCTAGGCCGTAACATGGCACAAGTCTAAGCACAAGAGCATCTTCCCCCTGTCCTGGTCCTTTTAAGCTTTCACACACAGACATTTAAACGTGTACCAATGAGAAATTGCTAGACGTCCCCCTTCCCTGGCCCTGTACCACAACCTCCCTGCTCTGATCTCCGGCATCACTGCAACACCCTCCCAGTCCCCTCCAGCTGAGTGCAACTTGGTGCTGCCAAACGTGTTTGCCTGACAAGAAAAAGCAAACTGGTTGTGTGGAACAAGTTGTGGAATTTCAGTCATTGGAGGTTAAGAGCAGGTTAGACAAACACCTGACAGGGATGGTCTAGATAACAGGTAGTCCTGCCTCAGTGCAGGGGATTGGACTAGATGACCTATCAAGGTCCCTTCCAGTCTTACACTTCTATTCAATCTCCTCCCTCCCTCCCTGCTTCTCAGTTCCCGACAGCCCAGAAAGCAAGGGTCCAGTGCACCACCCACATTGAGCCCCTGGCACTGGCAGGTAGCCACTCAGTACCACTCACCAACCATTTTACATTAGAATTCCTGCAGGTCTAAGTTTAACAGACTAATTCATTCCTATGTTAGCGGTCTCAGCATCTCCCCAGCACACAGCACCTCCACCAGGAGCACGCAGTTAGAACAGGAGGCAAAATACACAGCGACGCAGCCACATGGAAGTGTTGGGAGTCTGAGTCCTACAGCTAATGGAGTGGAATGGGGGAGAGGGTGGAGGGAGAACGGAACAGCAACAGGATGGTCACTACTTGGGAGAAGAAACGTCTCCCATCTCTCCCATTTGCTGCCCCTTTAGCCAAACCTACCACTGTGAAACCTCTGTGTACAGGAAAAAACATGGCTGTTCCATTTTTCGTGCCCATTAGAAGTGAAAAAGAAAAAGTTATTGATTATTTGTATTACCATAGTGCCTTGCAGCCCTGGTCATGGACCAAGATCCTGGGATGCTAGGCACTGTACAGACACAGACCAAAGAGGTGACCACTGCCCCAGAAAGCTTGTTCTCCACTTCGACGAAGCTCACCTTGGACGGATCCATGATGACAGTAGGCACAAAGTTGAGGAAGATATGGTTACAGTCAGTGCGGACACTGGTGTTGCTGAAGGCCACTTCCAACTCATCCATTGCTTCCAGGAGTAACCGTTCACCCTCGTTCTGCAGGTATTCAAAGGAGGCCTCCTGGAACAGGGCACAAGGCAGCACATGAGCTGGGAATGGATAGCGAGCGGCAATACCGCCACAGGTAAGACAGAAGCTTGTCCCTGCCCGAATCAGGCTGGTGAGCAAAGCGCAGCCTTAGCCTCCAGCTGTAATACAGAAGCATAGGCCACGGCCGTGACAGGGTCAGAGCAGGGCATTGGCACCGGCAGTCTCCATGTGCCGCCCTCCTGTATTAAAAAGGAGCAGAGCTGCAATACGCTCCTTCACAGACACAACTGGGCGTGTAATCCTGAGCTCCTGGCAGGCCAGCCTTCAAACTGGCAAAGTTTGGGCACCCCCCAAAAAAGAAATGCCCCACACTCTGGCTATCCTAGATCGCAGTCCTTAAAGCCAGAGTCAAACAACAGCAAGGAAATCACAGCTTTTCCCATTGGGTGTTTCTGAACACTATCCATTAATGCGTCAGCAGCTTGATGGAGGAAAAGGTGATCTCTGAGAGAAAGTGACCTGGAGGTGAGGTACTCTTTCAAACCTGTCCCCAACTGGTTGTGGCCAGAAGGATGGTCTTGGGGCTAAGGCACTAGACTGGGACCATGGATATTGGGGTTCAATCCCCATCTCAGCCACAGACGCCCTGTATCAGCATGAGCAACTCATTTCAATCTCTGTGTCTTAGGCGCCACAGAGGGCAGCATGCAGTTGTGAGGATAAATTCATCAACGTCTGCGAGACACTACAGAGATGGGGGATAGAAAGTGTCACAGATGGCCAGTAGTTTCTACCACATCTAGCCAACATGCGTCTGCATCTCAGAATCATCCTCACAGCTGGTCCCCGTCTTGGCAGCCACAGCGACTGGCTAAAAATGAGTAGCACATGCCTATTCAGAGAGAGGGGTAGGAATACACTACAGGTCCATCCCTCCCTGCACAACAGTCTTCCAGAGAGCTGTACAGGTCTGGACAAAGCGACAAAAACATGGTGTTAATTTCGAGTCACAGCATAAGGAACACTAAGTCCTTTTACCTTAGTGATGAGATCAGAGTGTCTTATAATGGCTCGTATGAAAAACCTGTAGTCAGTAACTTCATTGCCCTCTTCCACTTTGGCAGCTCCTAGATAGAGGTGCATCCTGTGGTTGGCACAGGGGACAGCGGTCAGGTCAAAGTTACGCATCCGATTCAGCTCCAGTTGGAAGGCCAGGGCTGGTTCCAAGTGCCGATAAATCCGGTCTTCTGCAAACTGAGTGCACACCAGAGAAGAGAGCAAACCTTTGTCTGACTTTGGAATAATTTCACAATTTCTAGAGCTGACTTAAGAGACATTAGACAGTAGAATCGGACAATGAGCCTTACCTCATCTCTTGCTCGAAATGTAAAAAACTTTGGAAATTCGCCCTACAAAAGGGAAAAAAACAGACACATTAACAAAATTAACCCAGCAATGGCGTTAAATACAGACAGGAGGCTCAAGCAATTCTCACCTGTACTAGCAAAAAGGGCATTTAAACACAAGACAGTGAAGTCACCCCCAAAAGAGGGGGAGCAACTTGTAACATCTTTGTTTTGAACCCATCCCACCCCATCAAAAAATTGAGTTGACAAAATAACGTTCACATTTTATATTAAGAGTAACCTCCTATAGAGAGCCACACAATAGACTAACATGGCTGCATCCGAAGAAGTGAGGTTTTTACTCACGAAAGCTTATGCCCAAATAAATCTGTTAGTCTTTAAGGTGCCACCAGACTCCTTGTTGTTTTTGTAGATACAGACTAACACGGCTACCCCCTGATACTCTAAACCTGTCACAATAGATATGTCAATCTATTGTTACAGAGGCTAACAGGTTGCTTATGCCCAAATACATTTGTTAGTCTCTAAAGTGCCACAAGGACTCCTCGTTGTTTTTGCTGATACAGACTAACACGGCTACCCCTCTGAAACCTGCCAGGTTGCTTATAACCATCCATAACACCTTCTACTGATGTCCTTCCTTTATCCCTTTAATACATACCACTCATGTCTGTAACAGGCTTGTAACATCTAGCCATAATTTATTAGTCTTTAAAAACTATATTGAGTGTACATTTGAAAGCGTGACCAACATGATACTGCAACTCAAAGTCCTCTCTCTGCTCACCTTCTGCACAATTAAAAACGTGATTCTCCGGAGGCCACAGTCAACAAGGATGTTTTTCTGTATGAAAAGCAGGAGACAAGCATCACGTCACCGGCAAAGCCTTCATGTGCCCAAGGGTATTTTAAATCACCACCCCCAGGAAAACAGACAACTCTGACAGACATTACCACTAACTCCACAAATGGGAGCATTATACATTGCCTGCCAGGACGGCTGAAGTGACAGCTGTAGTACATCAGGTGAGCATACTGTACAGGAGCTGCACCCCAAGTTTATAAGCAAAATACTGTATGAGGCACAAGACCTTCGACTGAGCAAAGGTTCTGAAGACTGGCACCAGCTCCTCATCCTCAAGGTGGCCGGCCCATCGGATGGCTGTGTTCAGGATGTGGATGGGCTCCTCTTGGATGTTCTGAAAACAAGACGGTGAGGTCAGTCCCAGAAGTGTTCACGCTGTGTCTCCAGAAGGACATGACCAGACATCAGCCTCACCTTATTGTCCTCTACTTCGTAGAGTGTGGATCGCGCCTCGCTGAACAGGGGACTCTCTGAGGGTGGGTTGGCAAAGCAGGAGATCACTTCATCAAAATTCCTGGCAGAATCCAAACAGGGTGTGGTGGATAAGTCAGTGATTGTATCAAGTGAGAGAAGTCCTTGCACACAACCCACCTAATACAAAAGCCAACAGCCTCGAACTATGGAGAGTGTTCCCTGAGGACAAGCATTCAGCTGGGAATTGGGTACGTCAGCAGCGAAGGAAAAACTTGCCTGGGACTCAATTCCACAGACTCCCTCTGTGACCTTGGGAGTCACTTGTTAACCTACCCTCCTCCAAAGTTCACAAGGGTGTAGTAAGGATTAACCCATTAAATGGCTGTGAGGCACTCAGATACTATGGTGGTAAGGGCCGTAAGGACCTACACACAGAGAGGCAAGCACTCCAGAAGAGTTACAAGTTACATTCTCTTTAACAAGTGTTTCCATGAATTAAAAAAGCAACAGTTAGCCTAAGTGAATCATCATCTCCCCCTGCTTTGAGTGTCATGCTGGAAACAACTTCTCCCGCTGCCTGAGCTTTGGCAAGATCCTTTGGACTCAGAGCATTTCTTAACAGTCAGACTGAAGACCGTGCACAGAACTAAACACTCGCATGGTTTGCTTTGGTACAACAGTGGTAGTACCGGGTTAGCATAATGGAGATGGTGTTTGGCTAACACTACGTGTTCTATTTATTTCCCCCCAGCCTTCCCTCCATACCTTGTGAAATCTTCAAATCTGTCAAAAGCAACCATGGCTCCCATTCTCTGACACAGAGGAGAAAAGCCGCTGTCCATGAACAGCTCGGTGCTATGCCTGGCTAAGTCAGGGTTCGATACGCTGATCGGGATAGACATTCTGTACAAAGAACAAGAGAGCAGTTAGATAGGACATGGATACAGGTAATACGCATGTGATGCGAGGAAACAGCTTATCTAGAATTCATTTAAAAGAGAGAGAGAGAGAGAGAGAGAGAGAGAGAGAGAAAATGAATTACCTGTATAAATCTCCCTTCCCCTCCCCTCCCCGGAGCTGAGGTGTCTGTAAAGAATCCCATCTACACTGCCTCCTTAGTCACCAGTGTCTTTTTAGGGTTTCCTTTTCTTTGCCCAGATCAGACCTAGTGACAACTATTCAGTGAATACAATTAGTTTAAAAACCCTTTAACAATCACATCAAGCTCACTGCAAAAGCGCTCTGTTTGACAGACGCTGGGGTTTCTGGGGAAAGCTGAGGGTAGGTGGTTTTAGGGGCAGTGGGATGGGGTTTGCGGATATGTTTTTCTATTTTATTAAACTGCTGGGCGATGTTTTCATTGGTTGTGATTTTAATTACCATGTGGTGCCTACAGCTCTCTTCTCTATTACATTCTTTTAAAAATCGAAAGAACAATCTACCCAGCTTACGTCTGTCTGAAAAGGGGCCTGTCATGGAGAGCCACATGCCAATGACAATAGAAAACACGCACACACATGAGAAAACAGCCTTTCTGCGCAAGTCACGTGTCTCAGGAGCTGGATGCAAGGCACCGAACAGAAACACTGGCAGCGTCAACTCAGCCCTACAAACCCATCCTCCGGGGTAGTCCCACTGGAGGGCCCCAAAGCTTCCTCTTCCTTTTCACTGACAGCTCAGTGATCCCAGTTCCTCCACTGGAGCCTGCCAGCAGCGCAAGGAACAGGTGGGGATTTTAACTCTGTGTGGGCTCACTGGCTATCTGCAGCATGCTCACCCCACGCCGTGCTAGCCATTTGTTTCTTGGAGTAAAAAACACACCGCCTGTTCGGATCTCTTACATTTCCTGGTTAGCAGATTCCCAGGAATTGCTAGTGCTCCGACTCGCAACGCTGGCTCATGAGAACTGTAAGAATTTCCCTTTGTTTCCAGGCTCTCCATCAAGTCACGTTTAAAACACACCAGTGCTAGCCTCAGCCTGACAATCCCACTACTACCCCGTAGGCATATGTTACGGATGTCTCCATCACACAGCGCCAGTGGCAGCATTCCATAAAGGGATCTGCTATAATCTTAAATATACCCCAGAGCCTCAAAGTTCTTGGGTCATTGATACTATCTTGCATCACAGGTAGGTTAAATTTGGGGTGGAATCTCACTGAGAACCCAATAATGCTGGCAAGCAAGGCAAGTCCCCTTTCTTGGGGGGCTTTGGGCACTGCACCCCCCATCATCCATAATTCTTCCATACCAGTCAGGGAGCGTAAGATTGGATCAGTCTCCCCTGCAGAGTACCAGTGACCGAGTTCTGCACAGAGGGAGCCTAGTATTCCTGCCTCTGCCTGGGGCAGTATTGCAATGAAATTGTTTCCTTCTTTCAGCAGGACCTTCCCCCATCTCACAGTTAGCCCACCATGCCAGAGGTTAATACTAAATTATTCATTTGTATTAACAGAACTCTATTTGCGCCAAAAAAAGAGGGAGCAAATAAGCACAGGGTTGTGATTTCTCTAGAACCAAGCTGGGTTTGCACGAGGACATAGGCTCCAAACTAAGCAACAGGGTTAATTAATTCACAGTAGAAACAGATCAGCAGATCCAAGAGGTCTTCCCTGACGTGAGCCCTTTTTTGGACTGTTGCCAGTACAGAACTACATCCTTTGGGCTCTGAGAAGAGAGCAGCCTATGTTTGCTGTTGGTACTATTTACGTTAACCTGACCGGCTTTACTTTGCATGGTCATGAGCCAAGCTGAAGACTGGGACTCAGGACTCCTGGGTTCTGTTCATTACTATAGTTCTATCACTGAACTATTGCGTGACCGTCGGCGAGTCCTTTCACCTCCGAGTTCATCTATAGAATGGGGAAGACACCAGCTCAGCTCCCAGTCATGTGACGAGGAGTAACACCCACAGAGCATTTTGGAGATGTAAAACCTCAAGTTTTTATTTTATTCTCCTGCCAGGCACACCTGGCTGCCTCTAACAGCTCTCCCCTCACATTCTAAAAGCAGCGTGCACGGAGAGGACTACTACGCCGCTTAGTAGCTTAGGGTTTGTTCTGATTTTGGCTTCCAGAGCAGCATCCGCTTAGCTTGAGGGATGAGACTGTGTGCAAACTTCTGCCCATCTCCCAGCACCACTAGGGATGCCTGATTCAGAAAGAACCCATTCTGCCCTGCGGCCAGAGAGCCAAGTGCCACCATAGCAGCCAGTAAGTCATGGGGAAGAGAGAGAGAAATGGGCACACTGGGTAGAGTATTAATGCAGCAGGCGAAAATCAATTCTCATGCTTCAAAGAGAAAATTCTGCACTCTACCTGCTCAAAGTGGGGCTGTTGCCTCTGAAATCAGAGTATTGAACAACTCGGTGAGCTACAGCATGAAACACCGGCTCTTCAATTCACACAGCAAACCCAACACCATGCACCAGATGGAAAAGGGGATTTATCCACTAAGAGCCCACCTAGGAAGGCTTAATAATTTCCCATTGAGGGTCTCCATCATTGAGTTAATGAGAAATTAATTCAACAGCTTTACAAAAAGCAGGTGGGGGGGGGGAGAATGCTCCAACTCCCTCACGTATCCATTGTTAAAGCTATCAAGCCATGGAAGCATGCGGAGCACCCACCGGCAGCCCCCGTATCAGCTCCCCATCAACCCCCAGCGCCTCCCGCCCGCTGGCAGGCCCCACCGATCAGCACCTCTCCCTCCCTCCTGCCCACTGCAATCAGCTGTTTCACAGCGAGCAAGGACATGGCGCACTTGAGTGGGAAGAGGTGGGACGAGGTGAGGCCTGGGGAGAAGGGGTGGAGTGGGGACGGGGCCTGGGGCAGAGCTGGGGGTCGAGCCCCGCCCCCGGGCACTTTGAAAAGTCGGTGCCTGTGCATGGAAGTCAAGTTCATCAATAACCACGTAGAACCGGGCAACAGACTAAGTGCAGGTCATTCCTACCTATTTGGATGCGATGATGGCAACATAAACTGAAACTCTACCACACACGTGCCATCTGAGAGCTGACGATGCTGCAGGCTGTTTAGTTCATAGGCGATATATCCTCTCCTCACGTACACCTGAGCAAAGAGGCGGGAGAAGAATTTACTTTGAAATCAGAGTGCTTTCCCATGGCCAACCACCGAAGCAACCACCATGGGCAACACAGCCTCTCTCGCTGGCACTAAAAGCAGCTCCTGCTCTAAGAGCTGCATTTCTTCTAAATAAATGGCAGCCAAAGTCTTCAATTCACCCTTTACCTCCAGAGCTGCCATGCGCACCAGCTGGTTGGAGTGGTAGAAGAAGGTAGGGAGCACATCAAAGATGGTGGTTTCCGAGAGGATCAGTTTCTGTCATGAGGAAAACAGAATTCAGCGCAAGACAAGGTTTGAACAACCCGGTGCTGGCATGAAAGACGAAGAAGAGATGGAAGTTACGCAGCTGCAGTTGCTCCAATCCTGAAGCTCCCTCAGTAGCTTTTGCTAGATTCGTTAGCCTGCAGTTCACACTGAGGGTTTCGAATGATTTAAGGCGTAATCTAGAGTACCCATCACCACAGTTCTCAATTCCTAGCATATGGACACGTTTCCCTGCTAGGGGAACAGAATCCTCCATTCACTTCCTACCCCTTCGGAGGAGAGTGGGTGACCCTGTGCTATGGGCTTTTGTCTGGAAGAGATCAGAAAGCAGCATTTCACATGGTCTGATATATACTAGCATCAATAGCTTAAGCTGCAAGACATTAAAGCCTTTTTAAGGCCTTTTGAAATAAATGGCTTTCAAATCAAACTGCTTCACTAAGATCTAACTAAAAGGTAAAATCCCATGCTTTAGAATTAATTGTAAGTAGTAGTCACAACCTTTAGGTTTTCAGGGCAGAACTGGTGGCCGTACATGTCGATAGCAGACAGGAATATGGACTCCACCTGATTATGTCTCAGTTCATAAGAAGGGAGGTGAGAGGCAATCAAAACCTACATATAAAAAGAATCTAAATAAATGGCTGCGATTTGGAGGCGGAAGGGGAAGGTTGGGGGGAAAATCACCACCATTTAACAACATGGTGTAAACCACGAAACATACTAACCTGTCTGGCTCGCAAAGCCACTTTGGAGTGCTCCGTTTTACTGAGCTGTGTTAGCTCAGTGAGAATGGCCATCAGCTCCTCTGTCATGGTGGAGTCTCGACCACACAGCTGGTCCTATTAAATACCCTTCCAGTGTTAATGACTAACCCTGATTGAACAGAAACCTCCATCTACATTCCTTACTTTGCCTACAAACGTCTGTGCACTGAACCAGGAAGACGTGCATTTCTCTTCTAACACACACATGGAGCCAATTTTTTGTTCTGGCCTTGGAATCTATACAAAGAAGGGACCACTGTGATCATCTAGTCTGATCTCCTTGATGGCACAGGCCAGAAAACCTCCCCTTTTCTTAAAAGTCGGTACAGAAAAGGGAAGATAATTTAATGAAGGCTCCACTAGTGAAGAAGCCACCAATAACAATTTTGGGGGATGCAGTCAAAGATATTAAGAACAGATGTTGTAAAGTTTGAAAACAACTTTACGTTTTAAACAGGTAAGACCAAAATACTTCTTTCAAAATGTCTGCAGAAGTTTAATTTTACAATAAAATACAAGAGAGACAATCTGATGTAACTGGCTGCACATCTGAGTTCTAATCGAAACCTGCCTCCCCATTTGCAAAGTAGATCTAATAAGGAGGCTTAATTAAAGATATTAAAGCATTCTATAGATGCTCTACATCAGATGCTCTGTACAGGTAAAGTGTTATTAAGGGCTGTAAGAATATTTGAGAACACACACACACACACACACAGAATCAATCCATTGCATTTGCTTTATTTTCCCCTTTCACAGATGGCTGCAATATCTCAAATCACCCTCTTATTACAGGGAAGCTTCCCACACTGGTAATTTTTCCAGAGTTCTCCGCTGCAGTTTGACCTTCACTCTTACAACACTGCAACGGATCCCTTCTATAAAACTACTACCAGCAAGCCACTCATCAAAACACAAAACTACAGGCTGCTTCATTCCCTCCCACCCTTATTTCTCGATTTCCTTGTATTCAGAATTTGCCTTCCAGGTCAGCGGTAACAATCTATGGTGCATCTCAACAGCCGTTTCTGATCCGACTTGACACCCACCCTAGTCTCACAGAGGTTGCCATCTCTACTTACAATTAACATGATCACCAGCAGATTCTTCTTTGCCACCTGAGCATGAGAGAAGATGCACTCGAGCACCGGGGTCATGTCCAGTTTGTACTGCTCTCTCAGGTTGATCACACATTTGTCATAGTGGGCTGGAGAAACAGCAAACATCCCCTGTTTAGATTAGTTCCCCCGGCCTGCGGAAAAGCACCGGGCCCTAGGGCAAACACACCACCACTTCCTCTGACCTTGTTGGAACTGGGTTTCCACTTGCAAATATCTTCTCAGCAAGTCTAACACGACAGATTTCATGTAGCCCCGAATGCCGCTGCGGTACCTGGGAACAGAGAAGAGGACCGAGTGTGCCACATCCCAGAGCTAACACGCCATCACTTTGGCCACGCTGCTTTTGCTGGGAATTGAACATGGACTAGGAAGCAGTCAGGGTGGATCCTTCTCTCCTGGGGCAAGCAAACGGCTCGAGACAATGGCACTCGGTGCATGAGCCAGGAAGTGGTGCTCACCCAATGCTCTGCTTGCTCAGGACAGAGAGGGGTGCAGCATCACTGCCAGCCTTCCCACAGGCTGCAATCACCTACACCAGCATTGGCCCCACTTGCCCTGCTGCCCTGACCCTTCTCCACCTCCCTTGGAGTCAGGGCCAGCACGGGTTTCTATGGAGCATTTCACAGCACGTCTGGAAACCTCCCACACCGTAGGGTGTGCCACAGCACAGGAAGGCATTCACCTCTGGACTAGCTGCATAATGCTCTGCGTGTTCATGAAGAAGACTTCCCGGTCTGCCTTCCTCTGCAAACTGGCCGCATGGCTGTCCAGTATGCTAGCGATCTGCACAGAGCAGAAGAAACACAGGCATGAAGGAGCTAAAAAGTAGCTTGGGAACAAAAGTCTGGAAAACCAAGGGGATGTGACTAAGCGGGAATGGCTAAGACACCAAAATGAAGCTCCCTTTTCTCTTGCCCTACACACATTCCCCTTTTTAAGAGACTATATTAATTAGCAGGAACTCTAGTTGGATTTTCAAAGAAGCCCATGTGTCTAACTGTTACGCGCCTTTGAAACCCTCAGTCTGTGAGCAGCAGTAAGTAATTTTCATTTCCCCAAAGATCAGGGGCAGGTTCTGCAATGCCTCACGCATGCGAGTTGTCCCAACTCATGTGAGCTGTTCAATTAGTTTCAGCGAGACTATTCACAGTAAGGATTTGCACGACTGATCCGGTGTCTTTATGGTTGCCATTCTTGGGCACTACAAGGCTGTAGAGATGTCTCCATAAATTGGAAACATTAATTCCAACCCTGCAAAGAGGAAGGGCAACAAGTATTATAAGGGGAAGTAAAACCATCTTTGTTTGGTAAGCGCAGTACAGCCAACCAGCCTGCCACAAGACATTCCAAGTGTGCCTATGTTCCAGCAGGAATAATTCAGAAACCCACCACAATCCTCCTCTTTTTTTTTTAAATTAACATCATATGCACTGTTATGAACAATGAAATGTAGCTGTAGCTGTGTCAGTCCCAGGATATTAGAGACATCGTGGGTGAGGTAAACCTTTTATTGGACCAACTTCTGTTGGTGAGAGAGAGACGCTTTCGAGCCACACAGCTTGTCTCTCTCATCATCAGACATCGGTCCAATAAAAGATATTACCTCACCCACAGTGTCTCATGAACAATGAAAGATAGACATTTATCATTACACACTCACTGGAAAGCCTTAGAGCAGGGAAATGGTGCCTGGGTTGACAGAAATCTATTTACAGAAAACACATGGAGGTCAAGCACACTGACCTATTCCAGCTGCATTTACATGGAACATTCAGAGTAACAGCTGGGAGAAGAGGAGACACTTAACTTTTTCAGATTTCAAATAGGAAAAGGATAGCTTAAAGAGGTTAGCTCAATTTTAGAGGGGGGAAAAAATTGCTTCAGGGCTGAGAACTTGTGTAAAAGCTTCCAAATTAAGCTATATCTGTTACAAACGTTTGCAGATCAAAAAGCTGTTTTTTCCCCACACAACAGAAATTTTGAACAAAATTTTTTAATAAATTTATTGTATATGACATTTTCCCTATTCATATTTTTGATAAAACCTCGTCTTTTAGCAGAAAAACTTTTCAGTTGAAAAATTCTGACCAGTTTAGCATGAAAAGAAAAAACTGATAATCACCAAGATATTAAAGAGGATGGAACACAAGACCATCCCTCTTGTACGGCTTACCTGCTGACTGGGAAACTGACACAGCACTGAGGTGATGTTACTGGCGTATTGTGCCATCACTTTTCGAATGGATTTCTCCACTGACAGTGGGATTCTGCCAGACACGTTTGTCATGATCTCCTGCAGCTCCAGAAGAGGCAGGGAGGGGTCCCGGAGGGTCTTCATCAGCTCACATACCCATTCTTTCATCTAAGCAAAATAAAGATTATTGCTGTGAAGATGTAATGGAAAAACATCAGAGGCCGATGTGTCAGGAAAGGCAAGTGAACGGATCTTGCCATCCCAATGAAAACTATGCTTGCAGCCCTGTAACCAACAGGGCAGATGGGCTAGCACAATGGAATTAAGGATGGTTTCTCAACTGTGGCACTGGACTGGGAGTAGCATCGAACCAGGTATAAAACCCCGGTCAAAGTCACTTGGGGACTGATTTTCAGAGGTGCTGAGCACCTGCAGCTCTCACTGACCTCAGTACAAGTGGTGACGACTCAGCATTTCTCATAAATCATGCCCTTAGAGTCCTTGTCTATAAAATGGGAATGACACCTTCCTACCTATCTACACAACAGGTGGTCGTGAGCCTTAATTTAAGGCTTGTGAAGGACTTTAAGATCACTGGATGAATGGAAGGCACAAAAGATGTACTACAGCCAATGCTTAACATTAAGGGGCTCAGCAAAGTATTATAAATTTCCCCCAAGGTTGCCACCTAGAGAAATACGGTAAGTGCTCTTTGTTATTACACTGATAGTGGGAGACCATTCCAACAAGAATACAAGTTAAACTAGATTTGAGAGTAGATCCAGGTCTTCATCCACGTATAAAAAAGAAATTGAAGGGAAAGATGGTTACATGTGAACAAAAGTTTGTTGGCATAAATATATCAGTTAAAATACCCTCTGGGTATTAGAAGCAGATGCCATTAGAGAAAGGCACTTACTTTTGCACTGAAATATGGCTCTGGCAAGCAGTAGCCATTCATGACATTGATCAGATTCTCCAGGACACTGTGAAAGACCTGGTGCAGCTTCAGGCCACCGATTGGCAGCATCTGCTGGGTGGGGAGGCCACCTGTATACAACTGGGCCTGAGGTCGAATACAAGAGAAAGAAAACATTTGGAATATAAAACAGGAGTGGAGAAGAGAAAAGTGAGGCAGATCTCATTCAAATTAAACTATCATCTAGAAAAATACATGTGTGCAACCTCAGCAGGCAAGGAAACTGCTCAGTATCCATAATTATTTTAATTAAAATGCAAAGGAGGGTGTCGTCAGAATGAATCAAGTGGTAAATTGCCAAGTAAGAGGCATTAGAAAAATGTATGTCAGAATTCCTTATTCTAGTCATTTTCAATCAAGCCTTAAAAATCAAAATTCAGTTTTCTGCCCAAATCCCGAAAGGCATATATGCTTAAGATACAGACTAGCTAAAGCCAACAGAATATTTATATAAAGGCCACACTTTCAAATACAAAATTCGACATCATTGCTAAGTATCTGGTGTGTTAAAACCCCAAGTGAACAAACATATTAAGATACTGGGGCATAAGAGACAGACAGCTACAAGTCACGGATGACCTGATTAGTCATGTAAGTAAATAGAAAATAACCTGGTTCTGTCCCAGCAGCAATACTCACTGGGTGCACTTTGGTAGGATCATCTAACTCGAGTCTAGCTATGACACAGCCTGCCTCCAGCAATGCTCCTGGCCGTTTTATATAATGTATATGGCCAGATTCCTTCACCTCCAGGGTCAAAATAATTTTCATCACCTGTATGAGGATTGTGGAATAGAGTGTAATAAATGAGTATCATCCATGCAACATCAAGAGCTTAGGACAGTCATTTTTTTCCCCCAAGTGTCAGAATAGAGACATGACTTCATTTTTTTTATTGTAGGGGTGCATATACATAATCTGCATCTCTTTATCAAGCATACACATTGGAAGCCATTTGCCACTCAGTGACACAATCTGCACTAACCTACAGTTACCTCTATCTCTGCAAAACTGTGCCCTACGAAGATGTGGCCTCCATCTTCCACGGTGTACTTCAGCAGTTTCCCAGCAGAGGGTGATCTCAGCATGGTTGGATCTTTCTCCTTTTCAAAGTCACATGTTTTGTTACCAACGGTGATTCGGTAGCTTAAGGAGAGGGGAAATTCTGTTACTGCTCAACCTATTTTCTGCCTGCTGCAGAAGCAGCTGCAATTGCTGCTGTGTCTAGTCGCGAGATTGGGAAGAAATCTGCAGCAGTGGGATAATGGGTCAGCTCTCTAACTTACCAGTCAACTTCTTCTTTCATGTACGTCGTGTAACTGTTACCATCATAGGAAAGCAGCACCCCACCATCATTCAACCTGTGCACGTCTATCTCAATGTGAGTGTTATTCATGATAATGACATAAGTTGTCAGAGACTGACGGGCAACCTATTGAAAAATACCGAAGAGAGAGGCTTTAAAATGTGAACATTACAATCTTCACTGAGATCAAGCCTTAGGCTTGCATTGCCAGGCTGCTGTGCATCAGCCCTTTGAGATGGCACCAGAAGCCGAGCTCTCATTGGGTAGTGGGTGGGAGCAGGATTTAGTGTGGAATACGGACTCGGCTTCTCCATGCCCCCTCTGTCACTTAGACCAGCTTGCTGCCTTCCTAAACTGTGTCAGGGAGATCCCAGAATCCGCTGAGAAACATTGCTTTAGATCACAGGACTTGAGGTTAGTGTTTGAATTGCTAGCCTGGTTCTACAGCTCAACCATTAGCAGTAATTTCAGCTGATCCTCCACTTTCCCATGATAAGAAAGTGATTTAACTAACTACAGCTGCTACCTAGCTGGATTTATGAACAGGAAAAGCCAGCACTTTATTAGACGCATTAACTCCAGCAACAGTCCATCTGGAAGCAGAAAAATTCTCCATACTGTAAAAACAAATAGTTAAACTCATTTAAAACAAGATTTTATTATTTTAAAAAATGGATAATGAAGATATTTTTTACTATCTTTTCACTGACAGTACCCACCCAGAAGTGCTTGTCTGTACTGATGAGAGAGACATGCAGAATCTACCTAGCCATGTGGAGTAATGCCTGTGCAAGCCAAAGTCTCCACAAGCTTGGAAAAACAAAAGACACCGTTTACCTTGAGTGCGTACTTCACACCTTCATAAATAAGCTCCACTTCTACAATGTTCAGCAGGAAAGCCGCTGGCAGAACTTGGCCCCTAAGGGACAAAGGTAAAAAGTCAGACACCAAGAGAACTCAGCCACGGCATATAGCCCATCAGCACTAGTCCAAAGAGCAGGTTTAGACTGCAGTGGGCTGCAGAAGAGAGCTTTTAAAGGGGACTTGCAGGCAGGGCCGGCTTTAGGCCTGAATCGGACCTCGCACCTAAGAGGGCCCCACGCCCTTGCCGCCGCCGGTACACTGTACCGGGGTGGCCGGCTTCCCCGGGGGGGCAATTTAAAGGGCCTGGGGCTCCCAGCAGGAGCTGGAGCCCCAGGCCCTTTAAAGTGCCACCAGAGCCCCATTTCTGGAGCCCTGGGGTAGGGCCGCGGGGCTCTGGGGTCTATTTAAAAAGTCCGGGGCTCCCCTTGCTTCTACCGCCCCGGCCCTTTAAATAGCCGCTGGAGCCCCACCGCATCCCCAGGGCTCCCTCGGCAATTTAAACAGCTGGGGCGGTAGAAGCAGGGGAGCCCCTGTCCTGCCCGCAGCCAGCCCCTGCTGCACCCCCTGCCCGCACCAGCCCTGCACCCCGCACCCCCTGCCCTGCCCGCAGCGGCAGCCAGCCCCTCCTGTACCCCCTGCCCGCAGCCAGCCCCTGCTGCACCCCCTGCCCTGCCCGCACCAGCCCGTCTCCAGCCAGCCCAGCACCCCCGCAGCCAACCCCACACCCCCTGCCCTGCCCGCAGCCAGCCCCGCACCCCTTGCCCTGCCTCCAGCCAGACCCTACCTCCAGTCAGCCCCTGCCCTGCCTCCAGCCAGCAATGTATGTAATATATAATTTTGTTATTATTTATATAGTTATGGAAAGTAAATAATACATGGAAGAAATAAAAGGGGTTTTTTTAATGTGTTTTTTTTTAAGTCATCCCTGCCGGGGCCCCACTGAAAATGTTCGAATTGGGCCCCGCACTTCCTAAAGCCGGCCCTGCTTGCAGAGGAGAGAAATAGTTGGTTTTGCAACCCCTTTCGGATGTATAAAGGCAGTGTGAAAGTTTATAAAATGTTTAAAAGGTGGTGAGGGAGGAGTTGTGCTGCTTCACATGAGAAATTAAGCTCTTGTGTCCCCTACAAGATTCTATGATGATGGCAGAGCTACTAACATGACACCATCACAAAAGTGAAATGAGTGAAAGTTCAGCAATTGAGAGGGGAAGGGACTTTTAGCCAGCCTGATTAAAACTTTGGTTTCGGTCATCATCTACTTAGCTCCAATGGCTAATGAACACTTTGGAGACAGAATGTCTTAAATAAAGACTCAACACTCTCACCCTTCAACTAAGGTGTAAAAGTTCACAATGCACATCTCTGAAAAACCACAAGAAGTCCCACAGGAAAACTTGTGAAGAGTGAACTTGACATTCCTAAGGTAAAAAAACCCAGCAACTTAAAAACAAAACAAAACTTTCTTCATAGACGTTAAAGACCAGAAGGGACTATTATGTTAATAACCTGACTTCCCACATCTCAGAAGCAAAAAGCAAAAACCTTGGGTTTTCTTTTTTAATATCTCATCTCTTTTGCTGCCCATTAAGGCTCTGGAAGTCAAACAAAGTTTCCTTTCTTCCACTTAGTTGCCTTAAAGAATATAGGAACACCATCTTCACATCCCACTCTGAAAATCAGCAATGTAATCACGAGTCAACATTCTGTGCCTGGTTTTAACTCCCTTAGTGGCTGGTCATGCCTTACCCTGCTAAGGTGTTAACTTGCATTAGACAAAATCATGCACGAGTAGCCTGAATGTCTGTGACAAAGGGTCAGCTTATGTGCCGAAAAACCTTGGATCTCACACACACACACACACACACACACACCCCTACCTCAATTATTACAATAGTATGTACAGTCCTCTACCAAGACTGGGACCCTAATCCGCTAGGTGCTGTACAAACACATAGTAAGAGGCAGTCTGAAAGAGTCCCTATCTCAAAGAGCTTGCAGTCTAAACAGACAAAAGGTGTGAGGAGAAACTGAGGCACAGACAGGGGAAGTGATTTGCCCAGTCGCTCAGCAGGCCAGTGACAGAGCTGGGGACAGAACCACATCTCCTGAGCTCCAGTCCAGCACCCTGTCCACTGCCTCTCAAACACAGCACTGTACGTCACGTGCTCTATATACCCCTGCTCTCGCTGAAGAGTGTAACAAAATTCCCATTCATTTTAGCGGGACCAGTATTTGGTCATAAGAAGGGTTTAAAAGCCACACTTCATTGTGCTTATCCCATTAGTCACGTAGCACTTTACCTTTCGAGCGAATGCAGGAAGTCAGTCATACAAGTCCTAAACAGGGCATCTGCTACATTCAGGGCACCGCAAACCACGCCCAGCATGGTGTCTGGCTTCTCGGCCTAGCGGGGGAAAGAATGACACTTCCAGCACATTGTGGACAGCAGATCCACGTGAGAATGAAGACGATTAGCCAGAGGGAAGAGAGTCAGAGCTCAGCTTCTCCCACCTGCACTTTCTCAGCAATCAGGTGGTCCAGCCACCCAGTATCTATCTCATTGTTCTGAAAGCTCTCAGTCTCCAGCAGCTTAATCAGGTACTCGACTGTTGTTCTGAAATCCCCACGGATCGACAGCTCTTTCAGCGCCACAACCATATTCCTTTTAAAGAAAAGTTCCTCTGTTAATATTGAGTTTAAGATTCATAGATTAATAGATTCTAGGACTGGAAGGGACCTCGAGAGGTCATCGAGTCCAGTCCCCTGCCCGCATGGCAGGACCAAATACTGTCTAGACCATCCCTGATAGACATTTATCTAACCTACTCTTAAATATCTCCAGAGATGGAGATTCCTAGGCAATTTATTCCCGATGCATGATAAATATTCAGTGCTAAGCATACCGATCTATTGGGGCATACAGAATAACTATTTCTTTTCCCCCCTTAGCAAGTGTCTTTCCCCACTTCATTTTCTATCATACAAAGTACTAAAGACCCAAAATCTGATGTATCCAATACACAAGTGCAAGAGCAGACGTTAAACTTCTCTTTACAAAATATACAAACACATACGCCACATTTTGATTGGATTTCGACTGACATGCAAGAAGGCTCTTATTCAGCAGCCAAGGTATACAGCAAGCTACACAGAATGGTTGAGAATGCTGCATATAGTGATAGGCAACCTTATAAAAACCTAGATAGATGGGTATCTATAACTCTGGAGAGAGACAGCCTGCAGTCAAAAGCTGTCTCCGAGTGCATGTTATTAAAAGTCTGCCCTTTCTGCATGTTCAGCTCTTAGAGATTTATTTATTTTTTTGGCCTGCTGGGAAACAGTTTACTTTGAAAGGTAACAGAGTAGCTCTGTGAGGTCCCGATGCAGCAAAGCACATGACCAGTACCAGTAAGAGCAATACATAAAGCTAAGCATTAAGTGCTTTGCTGAAGCAGGGCTAAATCACCACATTTCCGAATATTTCAGTTTAGTTTGAACAGTCTCCATAATTCCCCTGCAGGGCCCTTTGTCACAAGTCCACAGCTAAACCGCTCAGAAAAGCCGAAGTGGCTCGTAGGGTTAAAACCAAATATTTTTATATCTAAACCCATCAACGTTCAGTGGCACTTGAGTCTCTCGAGAAATGCTTATTGCTAATCCTACTGGGAGGACAATACTGACGAGATGGCCTCCTCGCGGTTCTCTCCCCAGGAGAAACAGTGCCCAAACTGCGAATCAGCAAATTCGTGCAAACCGCCAGCAGCTGCCACACTGAAATAACCCCAGACATTCTTGCTGCTACGGAAATTCAGCTCCTGCACTGTCCCTGAGCTTGGCTTGAACCCCTAGAGTCAATGTAAAAAAACACAAAGAGAAGAAAGTAAGAAGTTTACATTTGAAACAAAATAGGTGCAAGGCAGGAAAGAGGAATCCCATTGCAAACAACAGCTATTAGATAAGTCTGCCTGTGGATTCCATTAACCCCACAGATCTCATCTGAGAATATGTCCAGTATTCCAACATTTTATCAGTGGAGGACTGCTCAGAGTTCAGATCTTGCTAAAAACAAGGTCGCACCCTGCCCCCAGCAACATTTTAATCTGATCCAGACCAGAGCAGATGCTTTCTAAACAGGGTTCCATTTACTCACCTCATCAGGGTTTTCACTGGTGATTCTAGCAGCAATGACATGGCCTCTGGGCACTGGGATATTCGCAGGGCTCTCAAAGCAGATGGGTGTATCAGCCCATGGCGACTCTCCATACAGCACTCGGATGTCTTTTATTCTGTGCAAGGGGACACCCATTGCAATCTGCACAAGTGCCCAGCAGAAAAAGGAGACAAAGGAGACGGGGCTTGGATTCTTCTAAATTAGCTTTGAAATGAGGCTACAGTATGAGAATTAGAGCCAATCGGTGGGACTGGCTGGCTCAGGTAAACGGGAAAGGGACAAGGAGCCTTTCACCCTCTAGGTCACCAGTTCAAATCCAACCCCTTCTGGAGGAATCAAAGGGAGCAGCCATCTGATGGCTGCTCAGAGCCCTGTGTGAAGTGACCTTAAGAGCAGTCATCCCAACTGGTCACTTTGTGGGCATATTTTTGAGGTGCTCAGGACTGATGGGGCATGTCATTCTCACTCCTAGAGATGGCTCCTCTGGGTTGGGAGTGAGACATCACGCAGGGGCTTGGTCTGCTGCTGCCCATGTTCTACCTCTTAATGGAGAGAGAAATTCCTTCTCCCAGGTTGCCAATCTGGTACCTTTCACAAACCCCAAACTCACACACAACATGTGGCTCAAACCAATGAGCTCCTCAGAGTCATTCATGTGCTGCAACAACTTTAAGAAAAGCAACAGTGGGAAAAAAATGATATGTTGGCAAATTTCAAATACCTGTAGCTGAGCCGCAGGTAAGTTCACATCAGCAATCATTTCTGTGCAAGGATGTTCTACTTGCAGGCGGGGATTTAACTCCAGAAAGTGGAAGCCGCCATCTTCACTATAGAGGTATTCGACTGTCCCTGCACTCACATAGCCCACCATCTTTGCAAGGCGTACTGCACACTGAAAACATGACACAAACAGATCTGGCTTTTGTGACGCTAGCTCCTGCTAGTCCACAACTGCAGAGCACTTTGCCTGGTGTTCAGAGTCTATTACGTGCATGTTTCTGACATGCCCCACATGCAATATTTCCAGGACACTACATCAAATCGGGGAAAGACAAATGCCGCAACAATACAAATAAATAGGGGGAAAAGCATCAGGAGGGAGAATGAATCTGTACATTAAAACTGTAAAGCAATTTACAACTGTGATCCATTAAGTTACGCAGCTTTAGTGTGCAGCGGGTAACTGACTGAATGCAGCACAGAAACATGGAAGCAATAGAAGACATTAGGAGATGGGACAGGAGTGTAACCTGGGGACTGAGGAATAAAAGCCACTATCTTGTTAGTTAAGCCATGTCAAGTTTGCAAGAACCAAGACTTTAAAGTTCAGCCTGCTACTTAATTATGTGCTTAATATGGGAGAGGTAATGTAGAGCTACCAAACTCTACAGCAACCGGAGGTGGATAGTGGCAGCTAGAAAAAATTTCAAGCAGAGAATCAAAATCATAGACCAAAAATGCTAGTTAAATTAAACAAACCTCCCCACCCTAAGAGTCACTCATTCAACTGAGATGTTGGTAAGCATGGGGGTTGTTTGTTTTTCTGTGTGTACACAGTGCCCAGCACAATGGAGACCTGGTCCTTGACTGGGGACCTTAGTGGCTACTATAATGCAAGTACTCAAACAAGAAGTGTACTGCAGGAAGGTGATGACACAGACAAGATCACATTAGTCACACAAGAGGTCCCAAAGGCTTGTGAAGTAAGGAATACTCACATGATTAAGGGCTAGACCCTTAGGTCAGAGCTGATACACTGGGACAGTGTTTCCATACCGCAGCCCCAGGCTACAACCGAACATTTATCCCTCTAGAAAGGGAAGGTGATCATGGCTCCCAGGTGGAGAGCCCCCGGTTCGAGGAGATTGTGGAAGGGATACAAAAATTAACTTGCTGGACACTCCTGAGCAGGGCGGGGCGAGCAAGGCAGCCACCCAGGGTGCAAAGCCGTGAGGGCAGAAAATTGGGGTGGAAATAGGTGACACGTAAAGTCCTGCACAGCAGGGCTCGTGGAGGAAGCACCACCTTCAGCCCCTGACTCACCTCAATGGGCCACCCAGCCTGTCTCGGTTGGGGGCACAACCAAAAAAACCGGGGCAGGGGAGGGGAAACGTAACGCTGTGTGTGTGTCCTGTCTCCCCACCCAAACGTCACCTCGGGGAGGGAAGGGGGGAATGATGAAAAAAGGCAGGGGGCACAAATATGTTTGCTCGCCCCAGGCGCTAAAATGCCTAGTTCCAGCTCTGCTCATCAGGCAACCTCTTGGGTTTGTGCTTTTAAGCATTTGGCTGAAACGCAAGGGCTGTACACAAGCATCTGAACAGTTCATCCTGGTGGTGTCCCACTTACAGCTGGAGTGTGAGCTCTCTGTGGCTGGCATTGTCTCCTTTGTTATTTGTCTGTGCAGCACCTAGCACAACAGGGCCTTGCTCGGGGTTCCTAGGCATTACCGTAATACAGGTAATAAAACTAGTAGTGAAAAGGTTCCTCTTCTCTAACATCCTCTCTCTCTGTGAGAGCTGCCTCAGCCTAGCCCACAGAAAAGACCCAGAATATCTACCTGCTCCATAAAGTCAAACACAGAGGGAGCTGCTACCGTCACCGGTGCCTCTTCAATTATTTTCTGATGCCTGCGCTGTAGGGAGCAGTCGCGGCCGAACAACGAAACCGCGTTCCCGTACTGATCGGCAAGGACCTGCACCTCCAGGTGCCGGGCGTGCTGGGCTAATTTCATCACAAAGATGGGGGACCCTGGGGCCTCGCTCTGTACCTGGGAGGGGAGCAGAAGAGCATGAGAAACGCATTCATGTGGTGGATCCAGGCTTGTATATTCCTTGACATTGGGTTTACACGTGTCATCATCCTCCGTGGGGGAAATTCACTGCTGGGCAGAGGGCTGGCACCATATAAAATATCATTCATGTTCCCAACTCCTTTATGTATTGAGCTTTTTACATTTTTTAAAAATATATGATTGGTGTTTGAACGGACAATAACTCAGCCCCCCAAAATATGCCTATAAAATCAGTCAGGGAAACAGTGGGGAATAGCTCTTCTATTAAATATACTTTTAAAGGGAAAAAAATAAAAACTCAGGATTTATGGGGAGGGGAAGGCCCTCAGAGTTTCTGGGGGGAAATGGGGGGAGTTAAAAAGGCAGGTATATGTTCGGATGGGGGTGGAGGGAGGCATCCTCCTTGGTGCCTCTTACTTCTCTGAGAAGGCAAATTAAAAAGGTGGGATTTGGGGGTACAAACTCTCCTCAGAGTCTCTCACTTGTCTGAAGCAGCCAGTGAATTCCTCCGCGGTCTCTGCTTTCCGGATTCCTTTGCCACCGCCGCCTTCCGAAGCTTTTATCATCACAGGATAGCCAATCCTCTCGGCCGCCTGAAGGAGGGAAAGGGCCAGGAATTTGAAGGGAAAGGTTTAGCTGTTTCTGGGCCAAATGCAGCCCCGGAGCAAGTGGGTGCGACACCCATTGAAGCCCACAGAGTCAGGTCCCCTCACCCTGGGGTTCAATTTGTCCAGAGCAAACACAACAGACGTAGATGCACTCATTGAATTCCTCTCAATTTAACAGAGAGGGAGCTGGTGGCAGACCAGCTGCTTGGAGGGGTCCTCAGCTCTCAAAGAGCTCCCATTAGCTCTGATCCAAACCAGTTCCCAACTGCTGAACTTCAGGGTACCTCTATTTTGCACACCCTGCTGCAGGAGGTGAGGTGCGGTACGGTGAGAGTTTGGATCTGCGCTGGAGAGGAGAGCATTGTACCGGGTAAGGGGCTCGGCTCTGCTGGCTGTTAGGCGTGTGACCGTCATTGCTGAAATTTATTTTTGTTTCTGTGACATGCTGGGAGCTAATAGCGCTGGTCAGGTCCCTTTCTATTACTATTAGGAATCCAATTAAGGAAAAGATTCATAGATTCCCAGGGCAAAAGGGACCACTGTAATCATCTAATCTAACACCATGTATGACAGAGACTACAGGACTTCCCCACAATAATTCGTAGAGCAGAGCTTTTGTCCACCCTCCAACCACATCAAACACAACGGAGTAAAAGGCGCACATTATGAGGAATTTGTCTAGCTTCAACTTCCAGCCATTGGATCATGTTATATCTTTCTCTGCTAGACTGAAGAACCCATTATTAAATGTATGTTCGACACGTAGTTACTTATAGACTGCGATCAAGTCACCCCTTAATCCTCTCTTTATTAAGCTAAATAGACTAAGCTCCTTGAGTCTATCACTAATCCTTTAATGATTATTGCGGCTCTTCTCTGAATCCTCTCCAATATATAAACATCCTTTTTGAGTGTGGACACTAAAACCGGACATGGTATTCCAGCAGCAGTCACACCAGTAACAATTACAGAGGTAAAATAACCTCTCTACTCCTACTCAAGATTCCCCTTTAATGCATCCCAGGATCACATTAGCCCTTTTAGCCAGTGTCACACTGGGAGCTCATGTTCAGCTGATTATCCACATCCACCCCCTCAATCTTTTTCAGAGTCACTGCTTCCCAGGATAGAGTCCCCCATCCTCTAGGTACAGCCTACATTCTTTGTTTCCAGAGGCATACATGTAGCCATATTAAAATGCACATTATTTGCTTGCAACCAGCAATCTGGATCACTCTGAATCAGCAACCTGCCGTCTTCATTATTTAGCAGCCCCCCAACTTCTGTCTCATCTGCATGCTTGAGCACAGATGAATTTGTTTTCTTCCAGGTCATAGATAAAAAATGTAAAATAGGGCAAGGCCAAGGACTGATCTCTGCAGGACACCATTGGAAACACACCCACTGAATAATGATGATTCCCCATTTACAATTTCAAATAAAATGAGTTGAGCCACTGTTGGGCCAGGATCTTTACCTCCAGGCCTTCATCCACGTCCTTTACACAGCCTCGTGCATAAGTCTCTAGGGAGACGCTGATTGTTCTCCGCTGCTCACAATCCTCCGCTGTCCATTCTGCCATGAGACCTACAGAATGAAACACTGACCTTAGAAGGCCTTAATGCAACAGAGGAGCACATGGTTACAGAGGGACCTCACTAACTCATTCTCTTGCCTCGGAGACCCACAGCAAATGGCTGGATTTGGCAAGTTACTGATGCTTCCTCCCCCACAGCCCAGCCATAGGAACTACTACAGCCATATTTCCACTATGAATCATATGGGAAAGCAAGCAGGGGTGCACAGTTTGTCTGGAGTAGCAGCCAGGCTTGACTTAGCAGGGACCAGCTGTATTCCCCAAAGCCTGGTTACACAGGAGAGCAGCTCTGAGCCAGAGAACAAACATGAAGAGATCTCAGCGTTGCTATTACCAAGGTGTTTTGGTGTGTTTTTTTTTAAATCATTCTGGCTCTTTTTTTAAACCCCACACAAATTGGGGTCTGGCAGGCCTCCAGCAGTGAGGCAGACAGGCATCTCACCGTGGCAGAGACCCCAGATTAGTATCTCAAGCCCGATAAACATTGAGCCGTCAAAAGCCACAGGGCTGTGGCTGAGCTGACACATGGACAGCAACACCTGCAAATTCTCTCTGGCACCCACTTCCCTGTACTGGGAGAGTGATCAGGAACCAGGCTCAGGCACCCATCCCTAGAGAGCCAAAGCACAGACACAGGCCAAACAGAAACAGAGGGGACCGAGAGACAGAGGAGGGAAGGAAGAAAACAGTGAAGATGAATACAATAAAATGAGAATGGCTAAGGCAGAAGAGGAGGAGGTTTTGAATGGGAGAATTTGGACAAAAAATAAAACTGGATGAAAAACTACTTAGGAGGTTAAAAGCAACAGTAGAGGCCCAGGGAAGAAGAGATGCATCGAGACAGAACAGGAGAATTGAAGATGAGGAAGAGAAAAAGGAAAGCAGTAAGGATTCACAAAACTCCTGTTTGTATAGCAACTGGAGTCGGCAGTTTAATGGTGGATTGGCTGTTCCTGGCAGGCAGAAAAGGGAGCACTTAAATGTGCCTGGGCAGAGGAGGGGTGACGCCCCACCCAAGATCTGGCCCCTCTGGCTAGGAGGATCCCCACTTTTTCCCTTCTGTAATAAGTTTGACAGACAACGCCCAAATAAATCTGACACAAGCCAAGTTCAGACAAAGCATATCTCATGCAGAAGGCATTCTTACCACTTCCACTCCATGGCAATGTGGGGATCTGGACAGTCTGGGCTACAATGGTGGAAGCCACTTTATCTCCCAAAGCCCACATGGCTTCACTGGGAGGACCTTAAAGCCGGCAGGAAACAAAAACATGAGGAGGTCAGTGCCTCAAACTCACAGAAGCCCTTTTCAAAGGGCGGCAAAGGACTTCATATCCCACCCACCCTCCAACCACATCAAACACAACGGAGTAAAAGGCGCACGTTATGAGGAATGTTACTGGGAAGTCTCCATGAACCCTGGCTTGAGAGCCCCTACATTAGAAGGCTGGTGTGTAGGGCCAATACACACAGACACCACACTCAGAAATAGTAGTGCCCACCAGAAGCCAAGGACACCAACACACTTGCTAACTCAGCGTACATGACCCCCTTGGACAGTGGTGCGTTTTGCTGGTTTAAGCGGAGGGCTGCATTGAGGGGAAAAAAGCAAGAACCCTACCTAGGAAAGCCACCCCATGTTTCTGCAGCAGCTCTGGAAGCTTAGGGTTTTCAGAAGCATGGCCCCAGCCAGCCCACACGGCCTGTGATGAAAGAAAGGCAGTGAGTATGAGGGGATAGCTGTCCGCACAAGCGTCCTCCCATCTTTCACCCACCGCATCCTGCGCTGCCCTCTAATAGAGACAGGCGCAGATCAACAGCATGGATCCCAACACCCTCAAACTTCAAAGTCCTAACTACAGCTTCGGCCTCTCTCTACACTCCACTTGCTCCCATTAGTTACAGTCTTTAAAGGCCTAAGTGGTGAGGGAGCCATTTACCTGAGGGTTCACCCCTCCCATTCTGTCTTGTCGGTAATGATCGGTGGGTGCTCTTGTTCTCAATTTCTCAAAGGATGGAGCTATGGTACTCTAAATAGAGAGGGCACCTAGCCCGGTGGCACCTTCCCCCTCATGCCACGGTGCCCAAGTAGCACCTCTGAGTGCACAGACTAAGGTACGGGTCTGCTCTGGGCTTTGAAGGTCATTTGTGTAACAGAAAGAGTGGGAATGGTTCCAGAGCCATTTCGGTTTGTAACTTAGCCCCTTCTGCAGCCATAATGCCGGGCACTGCAAATAATTACCCCCCAGTCAGGGGGCAGAGACTCAGGTCTGCAGACACATTCCATTCTCTCTCGTTGCCCACTCAAGCCAACGGGAATCTTTCCCTCAATTTGCACAGGCACTGGCAGGCCCTAGGATCTCCAGCTGTCCCTCCAGAATTACCTGCCTAATGCCAGGACCCATTTCCAGACCTCAAATGGGCCCAGGAGGATTCCTGATCTTCAGGTTCATAACTTTTGTGTGACCATCCCTAGTCCATGAAGACCGACCCTCTGTGCGCTGCTTGTACCTGCACCGGAATCCTCTTGGAAATATCCACGATCAGCTCTACGTTGGCATAGTTGTTGTTGTTGGCTCCCCCAGGGACAGGCACATAGTGATCAGCCATTTTGATGTACTCTGGAAGAGAGAGCCCATTCTTGGTAGCGTACAGAGGGCTGGTCGGGGGGTGGGGGGGAAACATGCATAGCAAACTGACTGCATCTGAGTTGACAACTTCAGCTCCTATTATGGTTGCTCCCCCAGGGAACTGCAGCCATGACAAGCTTGCACACATCACTGTATATTGCAAAGCAACCACAGTTCTAGAACCCAAGGGAGATTGGAGGGCGGGGGGGGAGGGGCTAAATCTCTCAGTGAGTCTGATCCTATAGTCCACGCAAGGAGAAACTCTCACTGAAAACACTAGGAGATGTCCTGGCTTGTGAATGCAGTTGCTTGTGCCTCTGACTAAAACCAATCAATACATAACTTCCCAGGTGAGTGCTGAGGAGAGAACAAAGAGGCAGCAGTGCTGGCACCTATCAGGGGATGTTTGCAATAGGTACCACAAGGAAAGAGGGGACACAAATGTCAGATATTGGTTAGATTTTATGGATCTAGGATTTACCTGCATTTGCTTTAAGATCTTCAGGCGTAACCATGACAACAAATCGAATTGCTCGCTCATTTCTGAACATTTCGTAGGCCCACCTGCGGATGGAGCGCATGCACTTCACAGCAGCAATGCCATTATTTGCAATCAGAACCTGGAAGCAAGAGGCAGAAAGGAACACAAGGGTCAGAGGCAGGCGTTTGGATCTGACTAGGCTCAAACCAGCAAAAGGCAGAGAGATCCTTCATTTCCCCTGAAAACTGAGACGAGGGTACACAGCACCTTGCAGGATCAGGCCCTAATGCTCAGATATGGGAACTGTAAAAAGGCTGGTCCCTTATTCAATATTCTGCCAAGACACCAAAATTGCAGACTTTAGATCACTGGAAAGGAGTTACATAGTAACATGTACATTGGTTATTACACACACAGTAATGTTATTAACATGGGAATTCCATGGTTGTAGAGAGAGCAGAATACCAGAATATAGGGACAGACACATTATAACAGCCCAGACAGCTCACAACAGCTCCTTTCCAAGAGCTGAACTTTTGCAGGAAGTCTCCAGATGAAGGAAGCATTAGGCTAGTTACCGTTTCTACACAAATGAGAGAAAGCTGAAATACGAGGTCAAATTCTGCTCTCGGTTACTCCACTGAAGTAGTTATTCCAGATTTATTCCGGGCACAATGGAGATCAGAATCTGGCCCGATGTCTGCAATACAATTCATAAACACCCTGAAATGTAGAGGGACTCTCACTGACAATTAACTGCAATGTCTGTTCCTATCAAAGAAAACCAGTTCAAGAGCGGGCTGCCTGCGAATGCTGAAGTTGAGACTAGATCAGTGTTTCTAACAAACGCTGTTTCTCGGAGCTGTGACTTGGCTGCCAGTCTTCATGATGTCGAGTCTTAGCCAAAAAGCTTTACTTTTGGGATGGTGGGAAATAATTTTGACTTAGAACAACAACTTGGCTTATTCAAGCATAACACAAGGCACTGCCCAGCCCTGGGCGTGGGAAGGAATAAAATACCTCACAAAGCTCTGCAGAAGCCCTTTCTCTGAGGACTGAGAACGCAGCACTGACTGGCTTCAACAGGCAGCACCCTCTAGAAAGGTGTTGGATGCAACATAGGAAGTCAAGAGTTGGAGGTTTACAATGAAAAGAAAAAAGTAAAGAACCTTCAGGCAATCAGCAGGGACAAGGGAGAAGCGGGTTTGCACACACGTACCAAGGGAGGAAAGAAGTAAGCAAAAAACTGGATATAGGAGACACCTCTAAGAAGTTCCAAAGAGTTTTGTATTTGTAGGATCCATTTTGATCCTTAATGGTGCTTTGACATAACTGACCTATGTTAATATCCTAGGAACCTCCACGCCAGCAGCCTACAGAATATAAGAACTGTTCAGGAAACCAGCATCCCAACTGCAAAGAGAGCTAGGAAGCCAAACATCCCCACGAGCACGCGCCTGGGCTGGGCTGGGCTAAGGGCAAGGTACCTTTTCAATAATGCGGTTCCCCCCAAAACGAGTCACGAACTCAGCAGGTGAGGCGACAGTGAAATCCCTCTGGAGATCCAGCTTCTTCTGCTCTCGGCCTCTCTTGACCAGGTGCAGCCCTGACATGCTAGGCCTGAATCAAGTACAAAAAAACACGGCATTTAAAAAAAAATCATCATCAAAGCAAGGCTGCTGTCTAGATACGCCAACAGTTCAGAAGGGCAGAGTCAGATTGATGTCAAGCTTAGGACTCTGAGAAGGAATGAATTTTGCAAAACATGCAACAGCCTAAAACTTAAGATGAAAAACAAACCATCACAGTAATACCAACGGTCTCAAAGAATCAATAGCCATCAGATAACCCGTACACTCCCGACAAGGTAAATACAGGATATAAAGGATTGCTTTACCAATATGCAGACTCTTCCAAGACAGAACACAGAAGCTGTTTAAACAGTACCCTACACAAAGGGTGAAGGAGAACACTGTATTCAATTGAGAGACATGGGAGAGTAAATTTAGGAAAGCGAAATGTAATTCTTCAGGGCTGAATCCCCTACTCTTATGCAAAATAACAGGATATCTTTAATGATGCCAAGTGCCCAAGACCTTGGCTACCTGTCACTGATTTAAAAACCATTGATAAAAGGCAATTGTGCTGCTAGGAAAGATGTTCTATCTCTACACAGATACCCTAAGAGAGGCTGAGAGCCATCCTGGTGTTTGCATTTCAGACCACAGACGCGCACACAGCCAAAATCACTGGGAAATTTCAGGACTGTTGACGGACAAGGCTGAGTATGTGTGTAGCTACTATCAGGATAACGATAGTGCCATGACAAATACTAATCCGCTTCCTGCCTGACAAAGATTCACAGATCACACATCGCTGGCAACGTGCCAACGCTCTGCACAAGGGTCTCAAATTACTTTGCAAACAGTTATTAAGCCTCACAACTGCTATGTGGTAGGCCTTTCTTATCTCCAAGTCACAGAAGAGTCCTGAGGCCTACATGATAAACTTACACGGGTATAGCTACTTTGCTCAAGGATGAGAAAAAACCACACACCCCCTGAGTGACACAGTTATAACAACCTAAGCCATGATGTAAGACAGCAGTTCTCAAACTTTGGTCCGCGGACCACCAGTGGTCTGCGAGCTCCATTCAGGTGGTCCACGGATAGTTCCCTCTAAGGTGCGCGCTTGGGCGGTCACACACGAGGGAATGAAGGGCCACCCACCTAATTAGTGGAGCCATGGCTTCACTAATTAGGTGCCTGGACATGTAAAGTGAGGTGGTGCCTTGGGGGAAATAGAGGGTACGGGGGGGGGGGCAGTGGGGTGAGAAGAGGGGGCTGCGGCAGCCAGAGAAAGAGGCGACTTTCCCCAGCTCGGGGGCTGCCGCGGCAGGGGAGAGATCCCCCCCGTCCTTCCCAGCCTCGGCTCATGGGCTGCCGCGGCGGGGGAGAGAGGGCACATCCATCGCATTAGAAAGGTAAGACTACTGATATTAAAATATGAGTTGTGTGCTTCTATTTGTAGAACAAAAAAACGTTAATTATTAAGGGTTTTTTATATAGCACTTTTATCCAAAGCACCTTACCATAGTTAGCTAACGGTACAAACAACATTTGGAAAGATCATTAAGTGGTCCGCCGAGATCCTCAGCAATTTTCAAGTGGTCCATTGAAAAAAAAAAAAAAATTTGAGAACCACTGGTGTAAGACATCCAGGGCTTCTCTCATAGCTACTGCCGCTCCTGGAGGTAGATTAACTACACCAACAAGAGAAACTCTCCTGTCAACATAGGAGCATTTTCACTGAAGTGCTGCAGTGTTTTAAGTGCACACCTTTCTTCTGGCACAGAGATGCTATGTGACTTGCCCAAGAGACATGCAGCAAATCAACAGCAGTACTGGGACCAGCTGTCAGTTCCATGCTCAATCTACAAGACCATCCTGCGAATCTGCTGCATACTTTGTTGTTTTTTCCATAGACGCATGAAAGGACCTCCTGGGCCAGAGAGGCACTTTGAAGTAAGCACTGCTCTTCCCATGCAGCTCAGATTGTAAGGTCGGGGCATTTGCTAGTCATGAAATCAGCACGCAACAATCAAATAAATTATGCTCTTTGTGTTTAGGACACAAAAGAAAAACAAGCATGTAGTTTTGAACAGGAAATCAAAACACACTGACAGTATCATTCTCATTTTCCTATCAGTCACTAAATACTGCAATATTGGGCAGAATGCTGCCTCTCCACTCTCGGAACCTTTACTCAGAGGAGCAATTCGTACTCACTTTAACTCCAGTCAAGAAGTCCATTTGCAAAGGCTTTGTAGGACTGAACCCCTTTCTTTGCTAATCCTGCTCAGACAACAGTCTCCTGTAAATTTCATGGATGGGAATCCTTTAGTACTTTATGCTAATGATCAAAGGGCTACTTGCAGATAGCTAAGGCCCAGATATTCAGATTGTGTTTATCCCAGCAGTATCAACCGCAAGCATTCAAAAGTCATAACAGTGGCTTACAAATGCTACAATTTTTTTAAAATACTACACTCTAGGTTCTTTTAATTGCCTTCTGGATTTTGAGAATCCAGGGCTCATATTTGTAAGGTTTTTTTCTGCAACCTTAAAGGCTAGAAACGTACTCCCCGCCCTTCCCCCAATCATGAAATCAGAGAGATTCTCACATGAGAAAATAAAGTCCCACCTCCTGGAGTAAAGAAAAGAACCAAATAATGAGATTTGCAATAAAGTTATGAACGTGTTGCTAACTCTTACAGCAATCAAGCTAATGTGCACAGAAATTCCCTTCCCTCTCCCAAACCCACAAAATACTTTTATATTTCAGCAAGAACTGTTTCAACATGAACCCCAGCCTGCAGGGGGCAGAACCCAAGCAATGCAGTGCTATGCTAGAGCAGGACAACATGATGAAACCCAGTAGCTAAAGAGAAACTAACCAGTTCATTTTTCATTGTCCCAGATGCCTGAAATTCAAAGAAAACAAACTATAAAAAAGTTTGGTTTTACAAGATTTTAGCTTTAATAAATGAAGGGGTAATACAGGGAAGTTGGGTTTGTTTTTCAAATAAATTATTTTTAGTCTGACAGCATCTCTCACAAACACAAAAGTTAAAAAAAAAAAGTTAAACGCCACAAAAATATTGTGCAGTGCTAAAAAAAACCCAGATATAACTCACTGACACACACAGAAAACTAAAGAGAAAAAGTTGCATAAGAAAAGCTGCTGCCTTAATCTCCCTAAATACATGGATTGCTCGATAAATTCAAATCGCTGGACAAACATTCATTAACTTTCACATTTCAATGAGAAAATAAAAACAGCCAATGCAGTGTGCAGGCAATGTTTAGGGAACAATGCCTGGCTACCACTAACTTTCAAGGAGTGCTTCTCTGCACACATCTCAACAAGTACAGAGATTAGGGTGACCAGATAGCAACTGTAAAAGATCGGGACAGGGGGTGGGGGGTAATAGGAGCCTATATAAGAAAAAGCCTCCAAAATCGGGACTGTCCCTATAAAATCGGGACATCTGGTCACCCTAACAGAGATTCCTACCCGGAACTATACTCAGAACTAGGAAACTGGTAAAGAAAAACCCTTGAAGCACATCAGAAAGGAGCAGCAGGCGCCTGTTGTTTTGCTAAGCAGACCGAAGTTGCAGCTGTTAAGAAAGTTACATTCTGCCTTGAACTCCTGATCCCCTTTTCAAGGTACCCAAGGCAGAACATTTCTTTTGCCCCTGGTGCCAACCTTCTCAAACACTGGACCCATCCTCTCCCTCCATTCTGTAATTCAATGTGTGATTAGGGTCCCATTGCAGAGTCCAACCCGGGTGCTTCCTCTTCCTCCTCCATTTCTCGGTCTCTCTTCCCTGCCTCCATTTCTCCTCCTTCCCCTGGCAGCTAGAGTAGTAGTAACAGCGAACTCTTTAGCAGCACCCTGTGGCACAGATTAGAAACTTCACTTAAATGACCTTGGGCTGGCTCCACTCACTTCTCTCTTAAAGCAACAGTAGCTTAGAGCAGTTTCACCTTACCAGATACCTACAGGGGCCAGAGTTTTGTTTCGCAAAATCCAAGTAGGGATGGGGTGGGAGTAGGGGGGAGGAACCCAACTCTACCCTTACTACACAGCGTATGTGAAAGGCAGAGACATCACCTTGACCTGGAGCCTGAACATTTGCATTTCCTGACTGGGTTGGACTGACAAACTTGTATCAAAGCAGGTGTTTCCAATGTGGTGCATGAACAAAGTGAGCCATGGTCTCCGCTCTGAAGAGCTTACAGACCAAGACAACGGACAACATGCAAAGGGCAGGGGAGAAAGAGAATCAAGTCCATATGATTTTATGGACAAAGTCATTTGCTACCTTTTAGTGAACGTTATAATTACATAAACAAATGAAGACCTCTGTCCAGCTTAGCCATGAAACGTTGGTTAAGTTCTTCCAGAAGTGGGTTAGAATAGGGATTTGAAAGATTGGATTTTATTTTTGTTTCATGCTGCAATCTATTCCTATCAGCCTTATCACAGCGCTATGTATAACGGGCTCATACCAGAGCAGGGCGCCAGCTCATGTCAATGACAACTTACATGCAGAGCAAGAACAAATGCAATGAGCAGAGCGGGGCCTGAACTGTCACTCTGGGTCCAAACCCCAATCAAACACCTCGCAGGAGTCCATGTCTGACTCCAGATCCCACTTCACAGCAAGCCCAGCCCTAGAAACTGAGAAGCACTGACACAGCAAAGTGCCTTATCTGAAGGGCAAGTTCCCCTTCCTGGTAAATGAATACAAATAGGTCTATCTGAGTCATTGTTTTATGGCTGAAACGCTGGATGCTCAGCACTGGGAAGGGGTTTAATGAATGATCCCTTCACAGGATGACAGGGGAAGTTATTCCTACCCATGTCTTTGTTCTCAGGCCGTGGAAGAGGAACAAATGCTATTGCAAGCAGCCGTGAGCACGTTGCACCCATCCTGCATGCCCTGGGGCCTGGATCCTGCACCCACTGAAGTTAATGGTGGAGCATCAGGGCTGATAAAGGATACCGTAGAGACAGCATCAGTCCTGCTGGCTTCCAAAGAGCTCCCTGGCAAGGTGCCTGGGGAGGATCAGCACTCTGGTAACGCCACTGCATGTGACTTCCCTCTTTACACGTAAGGTGGGTGAGCTTTTGCTCTAGCGGCCACAAGGGTATGGATCCCACCCCCTCCTTCCCCTGCCCCCACCCCCTCCGCCTCTCCACACAGCTTAATCAATCTCACTTTTTAGCAATAGGCAACCCAAAGTGTTAAGACCAAACCCCAGGCAAGACCCCTCTTTTTTAAAACGAGGGCACTTTGTTCCAAGCACATAATCTGCGCATTACTGCAATAACGGCAGCACCGTCTAGTTTGTAAGCTGTTTTAATTGTCTCACGTTCCATCCATTCACTCAGCACCTCAAATGCCTCAGCGAGAGGCTCTTTAGAAACATAAGTTATTAATTAATATGTAACAGATCAGGGCCAAATCTGCAGCTCTTGCTCTTGAGTGTTTTGTCGAAGGCAGAGCTGTGGATTTGATTCCATTAACACCAGCACTTTTTCTCTCTGGATCGCAGGATAATTTACTAACACCATTTCACTCATCCTCATAACCCTGCCTGCAACTTAGATCTGCATCATCAGAAATGGAGGTACAGGAAGATGAAGTGAACCTGCCCAAGGTCATCACAGGCAGCTGGTGACAAAGCTGGGAATAGATCCTAGGAATTCCAGCTCCCTGGCCCAGCCACCAGGCCTCACACACCTTCTCCCACATTTGTAAATATAAACATTTTCATTCTGCTTTATGATTCTTCCACTCTCCTTCCTTTGCTGACGAAGGAAGGATAGCGATTGTTTCTCCAAGCAGTGGTAGCAGCAGGTAAAATTCTGCCTGGCCATCTCCATGGATAAGAGTGAGGAACACAGCCTGTCACCAAAGATCACACACAAAAGTAACATTTTGGGATCCCAGACCCTCACCTTGACACACAGGTGAAATAACAGCCTAACCTGAAGGACTCCTTTCCTAGCAGTGACTTCTTTTTTTAAGCACATGACCCGGCAAGGTGCTGCAGTTCTTGGAGTCAACAGGAACGGAGGGTGCTCAGCACCTCACAGGATCAGACCCCAAGTTTCACCAAACAGTCAAACAGTGTGATCACTTAAGGCGCATGCTCCCACTTTTGGGTCACACGCAGTTCACGAATGCTCACATCTGCATATTGTTATCATTTAGAGTTTTAAAAGCTCGCTTACCTCTAAAGGACACCAAGTAAAACAATTCAGCAGCTAAAGAGCAAGCAAACCCCACACAACCGCTATAATCTGCTGATCCAAGATGCAAGGAAAACAGCCCTTTGCTTCAAGGCTAGCTCAGCCCAGGTCACCTTATTGCTATTCCTTAAAGGGATACACTTCATTTATTAACAGCCAGTAGCCATTTCAACACACTCAGAACCCACACGTTTACAAAGTGAAAAAACGGAGCAACAGTGCTGACAGGTGGCCTTCATTTTACTCATTAGTGTCTGAGTAACGTCCCTCTCCCCAGCCCAAAACAGAGACAGTCAAATAATGTTGGAAATTTCTGAATTAAGTATTACTTTTGGTGTAGTCCAAAAACAGGGAATAACACGGTTAAGTTGCACAGTACAAGGCTGTATTTCTACCAGGGTTTAGAAGGGCAAAAGAGTTTAAATTAATCCTGCCCAGATCTCCCTAAGTGATTCTGCTAAGAAAGTGTAAAGGTCTCCGACCCCCGACAGTGCATTGCGAATTTATTTAGAATAATTATTGAAAATAGTTCCTTAAAATTCCATAATGCTCAGTTGGGACTAGACTTTCAGACAACATAGGCACAAAGCAATTAACACAACTGTATACCAATCTAAAAAAAAAAGTTAGGCACTGCAGGGGCAATTGGCTAACTAGCCACATTTGTGCATGTGTAATCCACACACCTTCTGGGTGTGGTGTTCTGTCCCATCTAGTGGCACTGAGACCACTTAGAGAGAGTTAAATGAGTCTGCTCTACAGCCTTACCTAAAAGCCATTTGGCTTTTAGCTCATGTGGTAGAGGATCATCCACTAAGCTCCAGAGATCCCAGGTTCGATCCTGCCCGCTGATGACCGGGGTCTGTCGGCATTACATATGCAAGCACAAGCAGTTGTAATTAACTGTGCACTCATTCTGTGTGCTTAAGGTGTCTGAAAATCATGCCCATAGGTCAGCCAAATAAAACTGTCGTTACTGAGAAAACAAAAATACACCATACAGATAGATATGCGTCTGATGAAGTGGGCATTCACTCATGAAAGCTTATGCTCCAATACATCTGTTAGTCTATAAGGTGCCACAGCACTCTGTTGCTTTGCACCATACAGATATAAACTCTAAGGTAAGTGTAACATACATGATGATGATCCCCTGTATTAAATATGGTCTTATCCTCCCACCAGTGAGAAAAATTCTGCCCTTAGTTACCTCCATGCAAAGACATTAATGAGGGTAACTGAGGGCAGATTTTTGGCCCAGGTGGAGACTATTGGCAGTGACAAGGTAGCAACATTTGCACAGACCAACAGATGGCGTGCTTGAAGAGGGGAAAAAACAAAAACACAACAAGCATACAAGGAAAAAACAAAATGAAAGAGAAAGCAGGGGAGAAAAAAGTGGTCTGATTTTAACTTGAGTTACTATGTTTAAAGGGGCACATCCAATGGACCAAAAAAAAAAAAAAGCACATTTCCATCTGATATTTTTAAACAGTTACAATTAATATCTGTTATAACAACCTTGGAAAGAGATTAGGAGAAGAAAAAAATCTATTTTTTGCAATGTTTCCTTTGTGCTTTTGACAGCACTTTGTGTATAGTCACTTTCTCTCTCTCCTTTGCACAGTCAGCGAGCACGCGCACACACACACACACAACTGTAAAACTACAAAGGTTGGCAGGGCAACTCAGGGTCAAGCTGATTTATCAATCACATCCCTCATCACAGTCCAAGGGTTAAAATACACCTTATATTATTTCTCTCATTTTAAGTTCCTCAATTCAGCTGAAATCTTTTCCTCTTGTCATGTAAGAGCAAGAACTAGGACGACCTCTCTAGTTGCTGCATCCAAGCTTCAACTCTCTAATCTCTCCTCAGACAAAAGTCACAGAGGTGCTCACTGGCAAGAGCAGGCTGACACTGGTGAAGTGTAGCTGCTTGGCTGTGGCACTGTTGGAGCACGAACCAGGCGCTTTCAGAACTGTTATGGCACTGTTCTGGAGAAAGCTCTCTGCACAGACACTCAACACAGTTCTTGGGGATACACCACCTCAAACAGCTGCACTGAGTTTATTATTTGATATCCATTTTGAAACCAAATCAACAACATACTGTGCATGGTGGCATTTAGGTCAAAGTAGAGATGGATACACCTCTACCCCGATATAATGGGACCCGATATAACACGAATTCGGATATAACGTGGTAAAGCAGTGTTCCGGGGGGGCACGGCTGCGCACTCTGGTGGATCAAAGCAAGTTCGATATAACGCAGTTTCACCTAGAACGCGGTAAGATTTTTTGGCTCCCAAGGACAGTGTTATATCGAGGTAGAGGGGTATGTGCATCAGGATCACAGCTAGGGTGCTCTTTAGATCAAGGATCCTGATCCAGGCCCATTTCTAATTCAAACAGGGGTATTAAATACTCCTCCAAACTCACCTGAAAGCCCCCTCAAAACCCCAGCTTATCATGAAGGGGATAATTTGGGCAGACTACACTCTGCAGTTCCATATTCCATTATTAATCCCCCAGCTGCCCAGTCCACTTAGTAATAGATTTAATGCACCAGCAAGTTGGACATTGCAATGCTGTAATATACATAAATAGCCTCTTGAAGTCAGCATAACCTTGCAAATCTGCACTAGTGACCAGGACAACTATTGGGAAGCACTGACAATTGCAAATTATTGAGTGAAGCCCCAATTCCGCAAAGCATAGCGTACGAGCTGCTGCGAAGCATAGCTCAGGTTTAGATTTAGAAAGAGTTCGCAACAGCGCTGGCTCTGCTTTTAAACCCTAGCTAAGATGTGGGCAGAGACTGCCTGGTGTTTGGGGGCAAAATTCTAAAATGCACAGACCAGCGAAGTGGGGATTAGCAAGGTTCTGCTCAAACTCCAGCACCCCAATCGTGTCAACGGAAAATAAAAAGTTTCCATTTAAAACCAGAATTTCATTAGAAGAAAAAGAGCAATTTTCAGTAAACCGGGAGTGGGGTGGGATTTAGGGGGTAATTTTTAATTTTATACACTGACTCCTACTTCTTACATTCCCCCTCACTTATTTATAAATAGCTTTGAGCAAAAGAAACTGGAAACAAATCTCAGGGCTCTTTACCTCATGGTTGTGGAAGAAGACGTTAGCGAAAAGGACTCAAAAGAGGAGGAGGAACCAACGCTCATCACGCTACTTCTGCTAGTGACTTTAAAGGATCCAGGTACCAGCTCATCATCAGACGAGTTATCTTCAAAAGAGCCCAGGACAAATTTTGCCATCGCTTGCCTTTTGAGCTGTACCTGAGTGCGTTCTATAAACTGCTCCTGCTTTTCCTTGGAGATGGACTTCTTTAGCTTCATCTGCTGCTTTGATGAAGGAAGCGGAAGTTGAGATAAAGGCTCTGCTAAACTGTTTGCTGGAACATCTTGTGCCGGCTCTGACACGTCAGAGGAAGAAGGGATATTTGGAAGTTTGTGTTGCCAAAGCATACTTGCTGCTTGCTGAAAGGCATCCATGGACACTTGTCCAGAGGTCAGTGAAGTGTGGCCAGGCCCTGTGGACTGGGATGGTGTTACAGCCCTCTCCTGCAGTTGGCATGTTGATCTTTTTGAAGGTTTCTCTTTGTTTTCAGAGGCTGCTGGCGGCTCAGGACTAGGTCTCTCAGTCTCTGACTTTAGCTGGTTAACGGGCTGAGAATTTGCCATTTTGGTCTAAATAAACCATAGCAAAATCAGACAGGACAACAGGGCCAGCAGTAACATTCAGAAACCCTAAAAGATGAAGAGATGCATATGTATAAAAGTCACAATCTAGTTCAGTTAACACTAACAGGCAGCAAGTGGACTGGGACTGACTCATTCTAACAGAGAAAGACTGGTTGGATTCGAAATGCTACCACAGGATCAAAACAACACCGTAAAACTTCTGTGGTCACAGCAGATGTCAAGACGACCAGTATGTATCGTCCCAGAGCACTAGGAACTGTATTACAGCAATAAGGATTAGGAATCAGATCCCCCTTGCTCCAAAACCACGATTCTCTATTAGCTGTTTGTTAGTGGTGTATGTTAGATTAACAGAACGAAAGGCAGCCGCCAGCAGCCAGACCTTACAGACCTCCCTCCTATCCCCCCACTCCCGCCCACACAGATCCTGTGAAAAATAAACAACAGAAGCATAATGCTGGTTAAGAGATCTTCAGGTATATTTCTAACACCAAAGAACATTCAGTACCGAAAGCAGCCAGCTACTTTATCTTTTACCCAACAAAATCCTTCTGACAAATCTCTTTGCTTGGTCCTTCATTCAGCACTGCAATGTACTTACAGGCAATAGCTAAACTGAAGACACTGTTACGGCACAAGCTATTTTTACTTCCTAAAAACAGAACTTTGGCAAGAGCTGACTGGTACTATGCACTGAGCTTCCCCTAGATATGCCTAATAGGCTAATACAAGTCAACACCCTGGCTTTTTCCCACAGAAACGTGACAGTCTAATAAGTTTACGTGACTTATGGAAGTAGCAGATGTGCATTCACTTTGACATTAAATCCTAAGCCAACACCCCCAGTTTTGGGCTATTATGAAAGTCCATCTACAAGGACTTTGGTGTAGCCACATTTAGAAAGGGACACCGTCATCTTGGATGGGAAAAATATAAAATCACATTTCTCCCTAAAAACTGGGCGCCTTCTAGTCACTAGCACCATCCAAGAACACTGCAACTGAAAGACGTTAGCAGAAAAATTATTTCCCTCTAGGTTTTTTTAAGCTTGTTCATTTTGTGTACTTGACAGAACATTGTGCAAAGTCAATTTTCCCTGCAACGTCAGTTTCCTCTTAGCTGAAAAGATCCTTATAAACATCAGGGGAAGAGATCGTAACTTAAAAGAAAAATCCAGGTTATATTATATAAAGAGTATGTGTCTACCAGAAGTAGATTTTTTTTTTAAAGTCAATTTGAAAAATGGCAAGGACCCAGGCATCCTTATAAGTGCACCACTGCTTCAGTCAATTTCCATCTCATTTGTAAAGTCCTCAGCCTGATTGCTCTACCCAGGCACAGAATGCAAGCACCAGCCTCCCATAGGTTTGTGGTCCGGCTCTAGGCACCAGCAAACCAAGCATGTGCTTGGGGCGGCACAATTTCAGAAGCGGCATTCCGGCCACCCTTTTTTTTGCTTCAGCAGTTGTGCTCCTGGAGGGCTTTTTTTGTTGTTGTTGCTTGGGGCAGCAAAAAACCTAGAGCCGGCCCTGGAAACACCCACCAAGATACAAAACCTTATCATAGGTCTAGCCCATCTGCATGCAGACACAGACAACTGTGTGCACAAGACATACGGACAAGCGAGTTTCATGCCAACAGCATTTATTTATTACAATTCCCTCCGCTACAAATCTCACATACCAAGGATTCAGGCTGGGATGGAAGGGGAGGAGGTAAACTGAATATTCACTTTTCTGAAAAGCAGTTACAGTAGAACCTCAGAGTTATGGACTGACCGGTCAACCACATACCTCATTAGGAACCAGAAGTATGCAATCAGGCAGCAGCGACTCCCTTCCCCCCCCACCCCCCAAAAAAGATGCAAATACAGTACAGTCTCTGTTAAACATAAATTACTAAAAAAAAAGGGGGGGGGATTAAAAAAAGATTTGACAAGATAAGGAAACTATTTCTATGCTTGTTTTATTTAAATTAAGATGGTTAAAAGCAGCATTTTTCTTCTGCATAATATAGCTTTGAAACTTTACTAAGTCAATGTTCAGTTGTAAATTTTTGAAAGGACAACCATAACATTTTGTTCAGAGTTACAAACATTTCAGAGTTAGGAACAATCTCCATTCCCAAGGTGTTCGTAACTCTCAGGTTCTCCTGTAATTCAAATAATTAAAAGACCGGGGGGAGTGGTGGGAAGGAGATCTCCCCCTCTCTTTTTAGAAGTTTTTCCCTTTCCTCCCCCTTCCCCGCTCCCTTTTCCTTGTTTACAATGTTTGTGCTGTGTTTCTGCCTGTTCACCCTGGGTAGGATGATCCCCATGGCTCAGGAGTGGCCGGGAAAGACCTTCACAATTTAAGGACTTTAGGGAAAGGTCCCAGCAGGTCCATGTGCAGAATTTATCAGTATCTTTTGCAAAACCCTCGTGACCTGGTATGAATAATCTGCTTCACATCTACAAATCCTACCTCAAGGGCCCCCACGAGGCAGCCTTGATTCTCTATCATGAGCCACGCAGAGGCTCCACAGGCCCTTGGGGTGATCGGAAAGGATGAAATGTGTCCTATTTTATGCAAATGATTCAGCCCTGCAGCTTGTGGCATGTTACAAAGGTGCCCCTGGTGTTCTGACAGCATGTCGGAGGAAAGGGGAAGGCGCCTGCCTTTCTTCCATGCTTTGCCTACCTAGACTGCAAACTCTTTGGGGCAGACTGTCTCTATGTTTTTGTACAGCTAGCCACGCCTGTAATGATGTCACGGGACAATGGTCTCCCGCTGCTGTCTAATGTCAAAGACTTTATTACGCTGAGTGTTGGGGCAAAGCTGATGTGGTTTATTTTTAAAACAGGACACACCGATCCTGTGAAAATATTCTGTGACAGCCAATGACTGGTGCCTGGTCCACCGTGCTGTCTGACAAGTTAGCACACGAGGAAGGAACACAGTGTCTCATGGACATTACAGGGATGGGCTCAAAGCTCTCTAGTCCAGCAGGACGATTTATAGTAATTACCTATTAACAAGACCTGACCTGCAGGTTAGCATTGTTATTACTGTTACTATCTGTACTGTGGTAGCACCTGGATGCCCAGGTGAGATCAGAGCCCATTGGGCTGAGCAATGTACAAACACATAGAGAGACGGTCCCTGCCCCAAAAAGTTCACAAACCAAAAAGACAAGACAGACAAAGGGTGGGAAAGAAACCAGGGGCCCAGAGAGATGAAGTGACTTGCCCAGGGTCATACAGCAAGTCAGTGGCAGCTATGGGAAAAGAAGTTGCAGGCCAGGCCCAGCCCCGATCCACTGGACCTTGCTGTTGCTCATCCTCGCAATTTTGCATTCACAGATGAGAAGGCAATAGACAAGTGTTAATCCTGGAAATGCTTATTTCAATAGAACAGCAAGGCTCCACACAGACCTCACCACACCAAGGGACTAAAATCTGTACGTTAAAGTGCTTATTGTCAAGTTATTCTGTTATGGAGTTTCTGGTAACATCCTCTAAAGCATTTGATGTTGCCCCTGGAGGAGACCAGACTCCTGACTAGATAAACTACTGCTCTGATCTGGGCAAGTAGGTTTTCTGTAAAGGGTAATCAAATTAAAATGGAAAAATTCAGACCCAAAACAAGGGCCCTGCCAATCTCTGAAGGTTGCTGCCCCAGTCCGGGATCACTTTCACATACAATGCATGCAGACGACAGAATAAGGAATCACTGGATTTGCACCTCAAGACTAAGAAGTCCATTTCCTCATCCACATTAGGTAGGAAAAAGACCATACCCCACAAAATACACCAGAACCCAGCTAGCTCATGGTACGGTCCCCCATGGTCTCTTCAATTCTCCTCCTAAACCTGCCTGGCTTGGTTTCCTGCCTGTACTGAACTGATACCCATCTCTTCCCATGCAAACACACTCTTCTCTGTCTGCTGACACTAAATCCAAAAGAATTAAACATAAGAACAAGACACATGGCACACAAGTAGCACAAACAAAACCTCATGCCCTTACTTTATGTAAGCTTCATCCTTCATGTCCCCTTCCCTTTCCCCTGCTTTTTGATCTCTGCCCCCTGCTTTTCCCATGCCCAACTAAGGGCCCAATCCCATGAGGTGCTAAGCACCCTCAAACCCCACGGACGTCACTAAGGGAGGCAGGAGTTCAGCACCTCCCACGATGGAGCCATCTTGAGGCGGGGTATCATCTCCAAAGCGCCAGGCCCACCGGAGGTGCTGCTGAAAAAGCAGCAATTCCCATGTTGTTTTACTTTTCAAAACTGAGCAGAAACAAACAGGAGTGAGGGCTGGGAGAAATGCAGGCCCTGGTCCTGTCAACACATGGGCACATGCTCAACTCTACTCCGAGAGCTCTGAAGTGTAGGATTCCTCAGGGCACCATCCTGCCAGCCCTCCCGTTCAACGTGTGTATGGGGCGGGTAGAAGGCCTGGGGTGCAGTGTTGTCAGTAGGCTAATGACTCCCAGCTGTCTGTCTTGACCCCATCTGCAGGGGCACTGGAACAATTTAGATAGTGAAAGCCACTGAACAAAACTGTAACCCTACATGTGATGGGAGCCACGCATTCAGTTGCTATTATTACTTTAAGCCACAGGTGCTGCCGCGTCCCCAGCACCTCTGCTTGTCTGACTTGGATGATGAAGTTCAGCACCTCAGCAAGCATCTACTTGAGACTGGGGCATGGATAAGGGCAAGCTGGCTGAAGCTCAACTCAGACAAGACGGAGTTGATGGTGGTGGGCTAGGGGAAGCAGCCAGAGGAGATGGCAGAGGTAATCTCAGTCCTTTGGACTGAGGGAGAGTGTCCATCATGAGTTACTAGGGTTCACAACTTTGGAGTGATTTTAGACCCCCACCTGCTGTTTGATGGCCATATCACAGCAGGAATCCAATCAGCTTTTTATCACCTGCATCTGGCTAGGAGGTTGTGACCTTTCCTTTTGGATACTGACCTTGCCACTGTCACCCATGCCTTTGTTACCTCAGGATTAGACTATTGCAATGCACTCTACATGGGGCTATGCAGCATCAGAGGCGTCTTACTGGGACCATGTGACACCCATGCTCCGGGATTAGCACTGGCTGCCCATCTGTCTCCAGATGGAGTTTAAGGTGTTGGTTATGACCTACAGAGCCCTAAATGGCATGGACAAACCTACCTGAGCAACCACCCCTCTCCCCAGGCCAGGTTGCCATAGCTATGGTCTGCAGTGTTGCTGGAGCCATGTTGGTCCCCAGATATTAGAGACACAAGGTGGGCGAGGTAATATCTTTTATTAGACCAGCTTCTGTTGGACAAGCTTTCGAGCTACACAGAACTCTTCTTCAGGGCTGGGAAAGGTACTCAGAGCGTCAAAGCTAAATACAAAGTGGAACAAATTGTTTTGCGTAAGTAGTTAACACATGTTATAAGGGACCACTCACAGCTCTGGTTAGCAGGGGCACTTGAGCTGAATCTCTCTCATGCTAAAAGAGAAGGAGAAGTAGGTTGCCAGCTACCCTATGAGGGCTCCAGGAATCTGGAACTTCTCCCCTACTTGGTCCAATGTAGCCCAAATTTGGTGAGCTTCTGCGCATGCTGGCTAAAGCCACCTGTTGGTTGTTTTTTGGAGAGGACAGAGGGCGTGCTGCTCCTCACAACAATGAAGGGGTGGAAAGGCATTTCTATACATGGTTGGCTAACTGAGTTCTTGCTGAAATCATTATTTTAATGGTGCTGGGATATTACTGGATTATTAATGATGTCTTACAGCACTTAGAGCCTTGGGGTCTTTTTATCTAAAGCTAAATAAATATCACGAGTAGTCTCATTATTTCAGTAGTAACAGTAAGCATGTGCACAAGCGTTTGCAGGATCTGGGCCTTAAGGGGCAGGAAACAAATGCACGCATTGTAACGGCTAAAATAGAATTACAATCAACAGCTGGAAAACATACAAATGCAACATTTAGGGTGTCACTTTAAAAGTAAGCAGTTTTTATATTCAGACCTGAGCTTTCAAAACTCTAAATAGCATTTAAAACATTCAGTATTTGATCTTTAAACAGCTTTTGTAGGAGTTCAGAGTAACATAATCCATTTAAATAAGGTCAGAATTTATACTGCTCAGTTTAGATCGAAGTAAGGCACATCCAGCCCCATTATCAGTTCTTCTTCATGGCCACAGGATTCCAAGCAGACAGATACAACCCCCACTGGCAAACAATTGCATTACCCCCCTGCACAGAGCTGCTTCTATTTCCACATTAGCCATATTAATTTTTAATTAGCAATATTAGTTCCATTATAATTAAGCCACTTACCATCCTATCTGGTCTCTGGATCTTCACACATGCCCTTTGTTTCATGACCTCCACATTCTGCTTTCAGCATTACACAGCTCTTGAAGACTAAATATTTATTGTACCTTGTCAGGCTAGTGGACTAGAGGCTGAGCATCGGAGACTATTTGGCAGTGGTGACTGTGATGAACATAAATTTTAGAGTATAACCAATCCCTGCTGTACAAAAGAATCTTATTAGCATTTAACCAATTGAAGAGCGTTAATAATTCTCTGGTAAGAATGACAGACAATGTTTCAATATATATATACTTAGGCACTCTCTATGTTTCCTAACACAAGTTTACCTTAATGGAGTCCCAATTTTCCATGGTTTGTTTAAAACTCAGAGCCATGCTAGATATATTAGTATCTCCAGAACTAGAATGATCTGAAAACATGCAACAGAAAACCCAAATTGCTTTCGTAATGCATGGCCCACATTGAACAGTCCGTCTAACCAAAGCCACATGCACAGAGAGGATTATTTCGGTAACCTTTCCATGGCTGCTGGTATTTCCAATCATCGGAGGCCTTAAGGGGTTAAAGACACCAAACGTCACCCACATTCTTTGCTTGGTTTCACATTTCATGGAGTTTCCCTAAATTAAATTTCTCATCTTATTTATGACATTGATATTAAATAAAATCCCTTCAGTCGTTCTGCTTGGGAAACTTTTATTGAAGCCAAGTTTAAAAAAAAAAAAAGCCAGCAATGACTCCACATCAAGCATGTGGAGAGCAGCTACAAGTTATTCTGTTGCATACCAAAATGGGATTAGATTTAGTGGGACAAAGGTCACTCAGTGATGCAAAATGAACAACTGTTTAATGCTGAGTTTGTTCAGCACAAACATTTTTTGTGTCAGCCTGCTATAAAATTATATAAAGAAATAAGAGGAGATTGATCCATTGTGGAAAGTTTTAATTAAAAACACACACACAATTGTCCTGAAAATAAGCAAAACAGGCACTGTGTATAAAATCATTTGTAGCTATTCTATGGCAGAGTACAGCAGAATTAAAAGCTGAAGATATCTAATTCTTTTAATGATTAACATTTAATCAAAATGATAAGACCAAGACCGATGTTTTGGTCTTATTTTTGTGTGTGTATATGGGTCTATTTACTATTGCTCCAAGAGAAGTCAGATCATGTCATGAACTGATTTCAATTTGGATTCTGCATCTAGACACCTAGAGTTATTGGTAGATGTAGCATGTTAAAAAAAACAACATACATGTAGAAGGGCCACTTCCAGTAAACAAAAGGAGTTTCTTTTGCATGGCTATTAACCCAAGATTTTTCTGCCTTCATTTACTTACAGCCCCAACACTGTCCAAGCCAAGAGCTCCCATCCAATTTTTGTTTTATAGATTAATTTATTTCACAATAAAAAATTATTTTATCAAAGCCCATAGTTCTGGGGGGAAAATTAGTTGGTTACTAATTGTGCAAGGCTTCTACACAAATATATATGCTACAATTTATAAAGCTAAAGTAGGTTTCCTATTCTTGGTACCAGCCCCTTATTTGTGGTTCCCAGTTCCTTGCCCAAAGGCCAAAATTATTTAAAAATACATCAATGTAGGATTAAATTTTTAGAAAATGTCACCAAATTAATGACTGAATGTGATAAAAAAATTAATTACAGATTACTTATTTATTAAATAATCAAATAAGGATATGGGTTTTGACTGGCTGCTTGTGAGAAAATAAGTTTTGGATCACCCCAAGCGACACATCCCTGTGACTGACAGACTGTTCTGAAGGTGCCAGGACATGCCACTCGCCAACCCGAAGCTTCGTTCCTGTGCAACATGTCACACCCCCATCCCAATTCCATATTGGGCATAGAGTTTGAATAAGGTGCTGGGTTTAGACAGACTGGAGGTGATTAAACAGGTCTCAGGCCACCCAAAGCCACACTCCTCCTTGACCACTAGACTGTTCTGAAGGAGTTGGGACATGTTAACTCCCCCACTCGAACCTTCATTCTTGTGCAATATGCTGCCACATGTCACACCCCCATCCTAATCAGGCAAAGGAGGAGTGTTTTGACTGACCTACTGACTGTGACAAAAGGTGTCTCAGGTCATCCCAAGTGACATGTCTCCACAACCGCTGAATAAGTCCTTCCCCAAACCAAAACTGTGTTTCTGTACAATCGTCTGCCAAATGGCACACCCCCACCCCACTTCCATTCTGAATAAGGAACCAGAGTTTGACAGTCGGACCTTTCTGACCTAGCTGAGGCATGGAACTCCCTGACTTGAAACATTTTCTTTGCAAAAAACTGTAGCCCATGTGAAGAGTCCTTCTCCCCCTCCCGATGCACAGACGCCCTTTAGCGGGGCAAAAGGAGCAGCGAACAGGAGAGGTTCAGAGGATGAAGCTGTGCATCCTATGCTTGCAGGGAGAGGGACTTAGCAAGTGTTACGTTGTTCCATCTGTTTGTTCTCCACAGAACGTTGTGTGGCTGGCTGTGCACCCCTGAACTGGCCTGCGGAGTCAGGTTTGTTTGTGTCTCAATGAGAGCCTTGTAGCTGGGACCCTTCGAACAGAACCAGTGTTTGAAGTCTCTAAGTGGTTATTCCCTCCCTGTTTCCAAGGAAGGGAGCTGAGCAGTGAGACTTGTATAGAAGTCAATTGCCAGGTCAACAGGAGTGGCAGACAGGCTGTTCCTGTGGTAGGTATGGCTCTATACCAGAGGTAGCAACTAAATGTGTTAGTCTCTAAGGTGCCACAAGTACTCCTGTTCTTTTTGCGGATACAGACTAACACTAATATGGATGATGAAGGAACAACTGCTGCAACCTGCCTTGGATGTACTATGTTCTCCTTTCTGCTGGAAGACAGAATAGATTTCTAGCATAGAAAATGCAAGCTGGGGACCTTCCTGGAGAAGACGACGTGGTCTGGAAGCATGAGTTGCAACACTGTGCAGCGGCCAAGAAAACAAAGACTTGGACAACCAGATTTGGAAATCACGTTCACAGACACCACTTGGGAAGGGATCAGCTATAAGGGAATTGGTGAGAGTACAAACCAAAGAAGTGGACAGGTAATTTGAGACCAAGAGGGGAAAGAGAGCCAGGAGACATTCAACTCAACTAGAAGAATCACAGAATCATAGAAATGTCAGGATGGAAGGGACTACTGCATCCACTTCTGGTGTTCACATTTTAAAAAAGGATGTTGAAAAATTGGAGAGGGCACAGAAAAGAGTCACACAAATGGTTCGAGGGCTGGAGGAAATGCCTTACAGTGACAGATTTACAAAGGTCAATCTGTGTAGCTTATCAAAAAGAAGATTTGATGAAAGTGTGTAAGTATCTTCATGTGGACAAAAGAGTGGGCACTAAAGGGCTTTTCATCTACCAGAGAAAGGCAGAACAAGAACCAATGGCTGGAAGCTGAAGCCAGACAAAGTCAAGTGAGAAATTAGGCACAAATCTTTAACAGTGAGGGTGATTAACCATTGAAACAGACCACCAAGAGGAGTGATGGATTCTTTGTCTCTTGATGTCTCCAAATCAAGAGTGAATGCCATTCTAGAAGAACAATGAGGAGTCCGGTGGCACCTTAAAGACAAACAGATTTATTTGGGCATAAACTTTCATGGGTAAAAAACTCCGCTTCTTCTCTTCTTTCGTGGGGGTTTTTACCCACGAAAGCTTATGCCCATATAAATCGGTTAGTCTTTAAGGTGCCACTGAACTCCTCGTTGTTTTTGTGGATACAGACTAACATGGCTACACCTCTGATACTTGGCATTCTAGAAAATATATTAGTCAAACATAAGCTGTTTTGAGCCAAGCAACAAGGGTAACTGGATGAAATTTGCTGGTGACATACAGGATGTCAGACTAGATGGTCCCCTCTGGCCTGAAAATCTCTCAGTCTATGAAACCCTGTTACTGGCCCTTTTGCACACACAACTTTGTCAAAGTTTACCTCTCCATGTGGAAGGTTTGTGCAGTAGTTGGTTGTGTACAGACCATAAAAACCTCCTTATGGAGAGGCAGACAGCACCACATTATGCAGCAATTCTGCAGAAATTTATGAAGAAACTTCCCTTCTGTGCAAAATAGGGCCTTAGCATGCAAATACTTCAGAATGCTTAAATATAGGTGTCACCGGTGATCAGCACCAACAACTGCTCAGTTAATTTTTTTTATTATAATAAATGACAACTTCTTTGCTTATTTTATAATTTCATAGTCAAAGTAAAAGTGCAATGGATCGCATCAATTGAGTACACATCATTTCATTAGTGGTGATCCCTGCATCTCTCTCATTACACTCACAATTCAGTCTCATAAGCGCAAGATTAAAAAATGTGCCCTTCAGCTGTCAGAGATTCTGTGCATGACAGCAAGTAAGCTGAAAAAAACCAAGACACGTTTTGGTGGAATCCCCTTAAAGCAGCGACCTGCCCCTTTTCAAATACCACTCACTGACTATTCCGACAAAAATGAAATGCCCCCAACCCCCGAAAAATCCTTCATCTGCCCTCTCTGTAGCTCTTTTTCATGCAACTTGAATATAATTAATATTTAAAATGTTTCAAATATTGCTTAGTTCAACAGAAGTCATCAAAATTATTTGCATAAACAATAGAGTTTATTAAAGCAAAGTTGTTGAGATAACATACAACAGCAGGAAGCATTTTGTATGTTTCCACATGCTTAATGAAATTGGGGGCTAGTATTTCTATGATGGAATTAAAAAGGAAAGGTGGTAATATTCTAGCCACCGAAAGAGTTCTCCAAATTCTGTTAAAGTGCACTAAGACACATTGGTGTTGTACAAATCTCAGAGCAATACTAAAGACACTAGCGGGTTCAGTAACTGTACTATATAAGAATAGGGTAGTATTCATTTAAGTAGTTTGTGAGCACTCTAGTGGTACTCACAGTTTTCTAGGTTTTAGAAGCCATCAGAAACCACTCAGAGCAGCAGTGAGCATTCAACTAGGCCTTGTATTTTTGCATAGAGTTAATAAACATGATTATTTGGGAGTCAATGGTGCCCAAACAGTCTCCCCTTATTATTTTTGTTACATAATGAGCACAAGACACAACACTGACCATAAACCATGTGTTTATATCATCCAAAATTAAACTCGGTTCTATCAGTTTAGCCAGTTTTCCTGTCCTTAACTCACGTAACAGCAAACCAAAAGTTCCCATAGACTTCATTTGTAACGATCATACAATTTCTGTGAAAACATTACAGCTGGATTTGCAGCAAATTTGCCAAATATTGCTTTTGTTGTTTTTTTACATGCATATTGCATATGTTCATTGTTAGTTAAGACACTGAAGTGGGCTTCCCACGAAAGCTTATGCTCAAATAAATTTGTTAGTCTCTAAGGTGCCACAAGTACTCCTGTTCTTTTTGCGGATACAGACGAACACGGCTGCTACTCTGAAAAAAATAAAAATTGGGGTAATACATTTGTTAGACCAGAAATAAAAGTTTTCCTCTGGGAGTGGCATATCTCCAGCTCTTCATAACAAAATAACAGTCGTAGGGAGTGTCACTTGGGGTAACCTGAAACTTTTTTGTCACGTACATTCTGTCAAAACCCAATTCCTTATTCAAGTCCTGTGTACAATACGAAAGTGGGGTGGGCACATCATAGCTCACTCCACACTGCTCAAGAACAAAGCTTTGGGTCAGCAAGTGATGTCCCAGCTCCTTCACAACAATCTCACAGACATGGGGACATGTCACTTGGGGTGACCTGAGACACATTTCAGCACATACAATCAGTCAAAACCCAGCCCCTTATTCAAGCCTTGTGTAAAACATAGAAGAGAGGTGGAGGCGTGCTGCTCAAGAACGAAGCTTCAGGTCAACAAGCGCCATGTCCTAGCTCCTTCAGAAGAGTCTGTCGGTCACAAGGACACATTACTTCAGGTGACCCAAAACTTAGTTTGTCATTTACAGCCAGTCAAAAGCCAGCTCCTTACTGGATTTTTAATCAATAAATAATGAAGTAATTAGAAACTGAATTTTTATCAGATTCAATCTTCTTAATTTGATGAAAACTGCTAAAAATTCAATCTTACACTGATGTATTTGTAAATAATTCAGGCCTTTGAATAAGGAGCTGGTACCATGGATAAGGAGCCAACTTCAGCTTCTTGTGCAATTTTTCACTGCGCTTTTGGGATTCTAAACTCTCCCTCTAGTGGTTAATTTACTATGGTCCCTGACAGCTGTTGCTTTCCTTTGGGACAGAAATATTGTGCTGTCTGGAAAGAAAAGTTTACAACATGCAGTAGGGAGGTCTAATCTTCTTGGGAGCTGAATTTCCATTAAAGTTTCTCTCTTTATCTCAGGATGTGATAAGGAGAAATAAATCCTCACAACTTAATTGCCTTTCTAAACAAGGAAAAGAAACCATAGCTAATCAAAGGCTTTTAACAAGGTACAAAGGATAAAATCTTGCTTTAGATCACAGAGGAGAGAGTGTCTGAAGGTATCATCCTAACCCTTGTTTAACCCACATTATCAAAACAGCATGTGACTGAAGAGAGGCCCAGGATTAGAAGAGCAGGAAAGTGATGCAAACTAGGCCAGAGATACATTTTCAGAGCTGGAGGGGGAATACACGCCACTGCTCCTAGGACTCTCACCACTCAGTTCACCCACCCTTCTACAAAAAAAAAAAATATATCAAGCTTGGTATTTCAATGGGACAATTAAACAATAAACCCTCTTCCATAACCCCTAAGCGAGGCGGGACAGATCACAGTGCAAGTAACAAGCAAGAAAACCCTCAAATCATCTTGTTCAAGGACCCGTGGCCAGAGCGGAGGGGTTCCTGCTGCTTTGCTTTCTCCTCCCAAAATCAATGCCTCACCGCGCTCTCAACACCCCCTTTTGCTGCGCTGGACCCTTCGGGGTTAACTGTGGACAGGCTGGTTCACAAGCCCACTGGTTAAAGCGGTGTGTCTGTTAATCCAGCCTTGTCCCAGAAAACCCACGGTGAAGGGAGCTACTAGGCCTCTCGTTTCATACCTACCACCGGTGCGGTGCAGTCCCCCCTGCGCGGGGGTCCCTTGGGGGGGCCTTTACACATAAACCTGAAAAACCAGACACCCCCACAAACCGACCTGGCTCCCCCTGGGGCTCGCCCCCCGCGGGCCATGGGGCCGGTCCCCCTGTCAAAGGAAGGGGTGAGTACAGGGGGGGCTGGAACAATGTGAGGGGGGGCGGGGAGCCCCTGAACCCAGCTGTAAACCCTGCATGTGATGGGAACCACGTCAGGCCGGGGGGGGGGCGGAACCCCTACTCCCAGCACCCCTGGGTGAGCGGCGCTGAGGAGCAGGGAGCTTGGCAGGCCCCTGGCCCCACCCTGCCCGCGGAGCCTAGGGAGGACACGCTGCCCCAGGCCCGCGCCGCAGAGAAGGCCGGGCCGGGCCGGGCCATGGGCTCCAGAACGCACCTCACAAGCGGCGGCTGCCATGGGAACCGAGGCCGGGGTCGGCGCGCGGGAAGGAATCCCCCGCCCCCGCGCGCCCCCGGGCTCGGGGCCCGCCCCCTGACGTCGCGTGAGCCCTGGCGCCGTCCTCATTTGGGCCCTCGGGGCGGGGGGGCAGCGCAAAGGGGCGGGGGGGGGCGACCCGGCTCCGCTCTGGCCTGGCCGTGGGAGCGGTTTTGTTTGTTAAGGGCCAGGTCAGGTCAAAGCGGCCTGGTGCGGAGTTCATGTTTGCAAAGGTCCAACCCGGAACTGCTCGGGGCTGGTTTTGTGCGTACGCCCCCGCCCCACACCGGAGAGGTGGCAACAGTGGTGCCGCATGGTCCCTGCTGCTCCCCCGTTATGCCAGGACAGGGCCAGGCAGTTCAGACAAAACTGCTGTCAGGGAGGTGTAAACACAAGTCTAGACCCGTGCGTCAACGTCTTTCTGCATTTAGTTTTGAGCCCACCTTACTCAGATACGCTCACAGCTTTCATCCTGGCGTCTCGAAGCGCTCTATAAAAGGAAATACAAACCTGCAGCATTGCAAGGCAAAGTCTGTGTTTGACACAATATCCCATTTGCAGAGTAACTAACTCTCTGCCTCCTTCAAGCCCTCCCTCCACCCAGCATGAAGCTGCTGGAAATTCCATCCAAAATAGAGTATAAAAAACACTGGAAATATTTCCACTGGAATTTTACCAACGCCCATAAAAATTCCCTACACCAGCATTAAGGGCAGGAGCCAAGTCGTGTGGTCTAATATTCTCCATTGGGGCAGTACGGAATGTTGCCTATGGACTAATTACTGAAGTATACTATGGCAGCCCAGTTTGGTGGAAGGTGGAAAACTTGCACATGTAAAACGTTCTGCAGAAGGAAACAAGTGATAATTGTCTGCGCAAGGCTGCCAGTATAGGTAATGGGTATATTTCATACAGGTGGGTTTAAAAAAAAAAGAAAAAGCATAGTATGCCTGCTGAGAAAACACTCTCAGAAAGTGATATGCTCTCTTTGACTCTTACAATAGAAAGTATCAGGGGGTAGCCGTGTTAGTCTGTATCTACAACAACAACAAGGAGTCTGGTGGCACCTTAAAGACTAACAG